TCGGACGGGGGGTCTTGGTCTGTTGGAAGCCAGCCGGCAAGCGTCAAACATGTCCAGTCGCATGGAAGCTGCTCGGTTTTGGAAGATACTTGGATCATTTTGGATCCATTTCCTTCAGACCTGCCAAGTGATTCCGGCTCCCTACATCTGGGGAAAAGGTTCTTATGTTTCGTGTTTCTATCTCCCCAGCCCTCAATCAAGAGCCAAGCACCTTCAATAAACCCAACATCTCCAAACCCTCGCAAATGAAACAACCCAACATCCCCCCTTGAAGTCCAAAGATGATTTTTTTTTGGGACCGCCGAATAAAGAGCGGTCTTTCATTATACCATTTGGCCCTGTTTTCATAAGAAAAGACATGACAAGACCATTTCTTTTTTTGGGGGTGGTCCAAAATAGGTCATCCAGGTTAGGTCGTCAGACAGCTTGTTGACCTCCACCCCCCTCCCAAACCTTCATCAGTGTGTGGGGGGCTCCAGTCCAAGGTGTTCGCCCGGAGAAAGCGTCGCTCGCCGTTTCAGCCGTTTCACCCCCACGACCCAACCTTCCGCGGTGGAGCCACCCACCGCCCGAATTCGCCCGATGCCTCGCCGCGGGCGAGAACATGACGTCCCTGAACAGGACGTTTTGTGAAGAGGTCCCGGAAGAGGGTCCCCGTGCTTTCGTTTCAGCCTACCAGGGAAGTAAGTGAAAGTTTCTGCCAAAGCTTAGCCATGGGGGATTGGTTTCTGGCTAGACAGGCAGAACAGATGGAACAAGGGGATTTCCGGCCGGAACTGGGGCCGTGACACGTCACGCACCGCACCCCAACAAAAGCATCCCGGGGGACTGGCTCCGGGCCCTGGTGGGGCTTATGGGTGGGTCATAAATGATGGGGTTTTCATGTCATGTATATAAGTTATATAAGTCATTTCATCCATGGATGGAGCTGGGTAAGTGCCAGAATTTTGACTAGAAACTGATGACGTCATCAGGAAACCAGCCAAAAATCCTGTGTTGATGGTTGAACCGTGCTATTATGGTTTCCCAAAATGTTGGTCGACCAAAGCTCATTTAGATGAGCCGGCACACCACGGGGTTGACTGAATCGTTTTTTGATGGCGAAATCCTTGGTCGGAATTCATTACTAAGTCACTCTAGTGGATTCGTTAAGATCACTTAAGATGTTTAAGGGAAGATCTATGTCCAGAGGAAACCATTGTGTTTAGTCCAAAACTATGGGCTTACTTCAAGCAAGTGAGAGGAATGCACTGGCACCAAATTCAATCTTTTTAGAGGATTCTGCTAGGCCTTGATGGTATTGGTACGTATGTGTTCACGGTTGGTTAATCTAATGGTTGTAGGATGCTTTAGATTGGCTCGTGAGTAGGGCTAGTTCGATCCTGTAATGGTTCCCCAACACCTCAGCTTCACTTCCTGATCCGGGACTTCTCAGAGTGGAGCATGCTCAACCCTCCCGGCTCAGCGGCGCCGCCGCCACGCAAGGAGGCCATGAGAAATGGCGAAAAGAGCGCGTTTTTTTTTTTTTTTCTGGGGTGGGCAGGGGGAGTCCCTGAAGCAACTTTTGTGAGACTCTCCCCTCAACATCTGAAACAAAATTCCATCTATAGTATTGCTTTCAAGGCTTCTTCCTGAAGAACCATTGATTTTGAGGGCTCTTATGGGTGAAGCCTCACAGAACCATGCAAACCACGGTCCCTAACGGGTCATTTGGAGGGTCCATCAATGCTCCGTGCACGTGACGTCCCAATGAGTGGATGGGGTTGGTGCTGTGGAAGCACCGTGGTTGGTGCTGCCGTGTCGGACATGTATCGGACAGTGTTCACATCCAAGTCCAGAACAGTCGATCTGTGGTCTTGTATGGTCTTGGAAAGAAAAGCCCCAGAATCATGCTGAGTGATGGCAAATCACCCACCCACCCTGGTCTTTCATCATGGCCTTTCGTGGCGCATGGGCTTCCATGTCGGCTATGCTATTGACACTTGTCCCAAAGCATGGCTGTGCATCAAAACATGGGGCCTTTCACCCAGGTAGATGGATCTCCCTGGTCACCTGTTCCAAATCCCCTCGTGCCCAGAACGTTCCGGTGCCATGGGGCCTAAAGCAATTCCGGTGCCGTGGTGCCTAAGCAATGTAGCTTAACCAGACACCAGGACCTTCCCGACCGAACTGAAGCGAGTCCGTCGTGGCCGAAGAACAACCAGCCTGGTCGTCCCGAAGCAACCAGGAAATCAAGTTCGGTCACTGGGAAGATCCAGATAGAGAGAACATCATCTTCGCTTCGATCCCGAGATCTCTGGATCTCTGAACTGAAGACTTGTGAGTCTCTGCCACCCACCGAAACCCACCTGAACTCGAGTCTCTCTGGGTGGTGAGACCTGAGATGTTCAAGTTACTCCTTCGACGGATCCCACGTCGACTCATGATTCCGACTCATGCCTACGACCTGCTCTTTCAGGTCCGCTTGGACCTGCTCTCCGCCCCAAGCGGACCTCCACCGAACACCGCAAGACCTGGTCTTTGGGGCCCGCCCGAGGTGCCGGTGCCGGTCATGAGGCCGGAAGAAACGACCTGCAGAAAGCCCTTTTTGTCCGGAGGGTCCTGGGAGTCCAGGTGTTTTTCGTGGCGTTTCGGGTTCCCTCATTGTCTAATTTGAATTCTTTATCTTGATGCATGGTCAGAATTCAGCAAGTGTCACATATTCTATTCAAAGGGCCACCTTCAAATCAAAAAACAAGGGGTCAAGGGTCTTGAAAGACCCTTCATTCATCTGGTCCTGGTCGAAAAAAGCCCACCATCCACCGACTAGAAGGTGCACCCAGGGGTGGGGGCTGGTTGGGGGGTCCACCTTCTGAGGATGTGGGTGGATTCCTGCAAATATACCAGCACCCATCACTGCCAGGTCTCTTCTAGTGGCATTGGGAGACGCAAAGTGATGGGTGAAGACCTGTGAAGTCGGGTGCTGGGATAATGCAAATATCATATCTACCAACACCACCCAGTCACCCTCCGTGAAGATGTATGTTCCCATGTCCTCACCTCGAAATCGACGCTCCGACCAAAAAACGCGCGGAGAGGTCGGCGAGTTTCCAGCCTGAGAGGTCAAAATTTTGATCAATAAACCCTGTTGCCCGCAACGGGTCTTTTGATTCCACCAGGAATTCCTGGTAAGCGCACTGAATTATTCGGACTGACTCGGAGGGTCCGGGATCACTACTAGTCAGTCAGATGTTTTTTGAAATAGTCCGGGTGGTGTCCCACCAGCCACAGTCAGGAAAAGGTGATCACTATTTTTGGGAACGTCTTTACTAAGCATCATCCACTGTTCCTCCCTAGGGATCCAGTCCTACCTTCTCAGGTTCGGTACGACTGGACCCTGATGGCACCTACACAACAGTGTCGAACACATCACCGTACCTCAGAGGGTTTATATATATATATATGTGGATTCCTAGGGACTGGTAATGGGATACACCCAAGAAACGGTCGACCGGACTGCCAGAACCAGATTCTTCAGTTTTCGTGACCTGAGCCCCTGGAGTCCCTGGTCCCTGACCTTTTCCCCTATATAAGTGAGTGAACCAACCAGGAGATCAAAGAGCCAGCTTGTAAGAAGAACCAGCCCAAGACGATGAAAATAGGGTGCATCGCATGAAGCTGGTGGGACTCCAAGGTCACAAACTGAACAAGCAGAAGAGTCTAAGACTGAAAATAAGACTCTTTGTTGGGTGTATCATGTGTATCGCATCACCAGAAAATCCGTGGATGATGCTCAGTAAGGTTGACCCTTTTCCCCCCTCCCAAATCGTGATACTATCCCAACTGAAGAACCCAGGCTCAATGAATTGGTTTAAGGGAACATCTGCAGGACACCCACAGTTTCCGGGGTTTTCAACCCATGGTTTCCTGTAGATTGTCCCTTAAACCCATTGAGCCTGGCATCTCTCCGATCGGCCCCTCCAGGCCTCGCGGCTCCGCGACCAACGTCGCGTCACTGCCGGAGCCGACGTTGTGCGCGGAGCGCGGAGCGCGGCGGTGGAGCTGAGAAGGAGGCTGGAGGCACTGAGGGTATTGACTATACATGGCTACTATAGTAACAAGGACGCTTACTGGGTGGAGGCCCATCGCTACTAGGGTGGAGGCCATGAATTACTACTATAGTAACAAGAAGCTACTAGTAACAAGGAGTATTGACTCAGGCCACTGTGTGGCCAAAAAGGGGAGGTTCTTGAGTATGGAGACCGGCACAGAGTTCCCTTGTGGATGGCCTGGCCCCGACAGGGGGTCCTCCCATGTTCCGAACGAAGACCACAGAGGCTGTGGGTGAGTTTTCCACCTCCATGTGAGTGTTCCTCGGAGCTCCGAGTGTTACTTACCCAGACGCTCCGTGAAAGCAGCCCTTTCCTGGTCCCTCAAAACCTAGAGTTTGGTGAGAACATTGAGAAAACCCAGGCTGAAGATTGAGTCCATCTTTCAGGGAAGTAGATTGGGGCGACCTGGAAGAAGAACTCACCAAGAAGTCTGGGTGGCCACTTCCAGGACCCACTTATATAATTACTCTCAAGAAGATGAGTCCGGGTGCAGGCTTACTTCCGGTTCCATCCACGACCCCAGGTGGGGGAAAGGGGTGGGTGCCAGGGGGTCGGATTCTGCCGAGTGCTGGAAGGGTGTTCCAAGAACCATGACTCCGCGCGTGATGACTTCGGCTGCAGCTGGCCAGTGGCCCTGTAATATTAGCCCCCTCCTCACCATGCCATGCCACACGAAAAGAAAAACACATCACCTGACTCAGCGAACATTTGCAAGGCATTTTCAGATTTGCACCCCCCCAACAAAACCAGCGTGCAGTGAAGGACCACTTGCTTCAACTGATAGCACCATATATTATACAACATCCAAAGAGGCGCCTTCTAGCATTGCTCCGCCCAAAGGCCACACCCAAAAACACCAAAAACACGTCCATCCTCACACCCCCACGACACCCAGTCAGTGGCTCCACAGTTTGGGTCTTGTTCGCCCGGTCCCACCCCGGGGATTCGCTCGTTGCGTTCGTTCGACAGTGGGGGCTCGTCGCCTGCGGCGATGCGCCAGCAGTGTTGCGTCGCCCGCCATGGTGATAGCGGTGCGTGTCTTGTCCAGTGTCCCTCGTCGTTCATGGACGGATGAGTGGGTGGAAGATCATGCCCAGTAGGGATCCGCATACCTTCTCAGAAGGTACTTGGACCCTGTAGATGATCTACATAACAGGGTCTCCGATCACCGTACCTCAGAAGGTATGTGGATCCATACGGATGGAAGAGCCGTGGCTTCCGTTCCCTGACCTGTTTGACCATGAAAGAAGAGTTCGGTTGACCTGATTTTGTAGTCGCAAACCCTCATAGTATATTGAGCAATGGTTGTGTAGTAAAGAGTTAGGAGGCTGCTCTACCATGGAACTGGTATCTCTTCCGCCATTTCTGTGGTGAGAATTGTTTGAACCTCGTGTCAGTGCCTCAGCACCTTACAATGGTGGGCCATGAATTGTGGTTTGGCAAAACCACACAGCTTTCCAACCAATACCGAACCGTGAGAGTGGTCACCCGGCTTTGACCCCATCATATCAGCAGTTCCATGTCGGAATGGTTTGTTGTTTCGCATCTAGTAAGTGGATGTGGCAGAGGCACCCTTATCCAACAGGGAACTCCTTTGGATCTGCTGGTACATGTCGCTTGAGGAAAGGATGTGCCCAGACCGGAGGATTCACTGGTGTGTGAGCACTGAAGTGCCTTTTCCAAGTAAAAAGGATCCTCCCCAAGTGAGTGTCAAGCCTGCTAGTCGCTCCCATTCTGCGAGAAAAGGGGCCAATTTCTGCCCATGTCCTACACCCAAACAGCTTCACTCCACCTGTGACCCGACCTTTTGCTGAGGAACTTCATCAATAGGACTTCAGCATACTTCAGCCAGGGCCGATCCTCCTTAACCACGCTGCCCCGCTCCAGGAGCACTGCCTCCGTCCACCCCGAAAAACACGCACCGAGACCGCCGAGACCGCCGTGAGGTGCTGAGATCGGCCAGCTCCTTACCCAAGCCGATGATTCCAGTGGGTACCACGGTCACCAGGTGCAGTTCCTGGGAGGTTGGAGGATGTGGCTAGAAAAATCACCATCACTCAAGTCTGCGTCTGCTGCTTCTCGCGTTTACACGTACGTTCGTGGGCTCGCTGGACTGATTGGACGGAGTTGGGTCGGGACGCAGAACGAATCTCCCGACCCGAACGAGAACCGAGAACTTTTCGACTAGTCCGAGAAGGAGGTCCTGAAACGAATCTCCCTAGAGTCGACCCGTTCTTACCTCGGAAAATGGGGCCCCAGTCGTAGCTGTTTTTTGTTCGGGTCATGTCCCATGTTCTAAGCTACTGGCTCAGTCGGGTCCAGGTCAAGCCATTTCAATCTTCCATTCCGTTCGGACCGATGACCGACCCGCCGGTCCAAACAGCCGGACATCGAGGGAACCGGTCTGGACCGATTGAAAACGGTCTGTGGCTTGGGGTCGAATGGAGAGACCGAGATACCAAGAGACTGGGGTACCCAACTGGGATAGTCTATATAGATCTATATAGTTCTTCAACCTCTGTTGGTACCCCTGAATCTCTTCTTTATGAGAAAAACTTGGGGGGGCTATCAATCGACACTCCTTGGCAAGTCGTGGGAAGAAAGTTGTCAAGTGATTCTCCTTGTCAAGTTGGTCACCAAATCAAGGATTCTGCAATTCGATTGGACTCTGGATCTCATGGGCGAGCAAGATCCTGGACCCTCAACCCCGGCCCCCTGCGTTTCGGTGTCGGAGTCCGACCCTTCTGTTTGTTCCAGCCGGTACGGATTCTGGGGCGGAAGGATTCATGTCCATTCTTGATCTCTTTCAGATGCGAATCTCTTTCAGATCGGACTCCGAAGATGCGGAGATACAAGCAAGAGAGGTATCCAGTGACTGTTTTCTTAGGATCCGACTGGGGTACCCAACTGGGATAGTCGAACTAGGGTCCTTCAACCTCTGTTGGAAGAGAAAAGATATCCAAAGATATCCAAAGTCTTCCCTCAAGCAGTTCTTGTTGAACGAATATCATTATATCACATTCCCATCGTGCTACCACCCCCTAGGGCTCCAACTACCTCCACTTCGAAGGTGTCAAGGGTTGGCTTCTTGGAGGGTCTAAGTGCCATGTGGCGTGCCTGAGAAGATGTTTGGATCCCTAAATGGGCATCTTCAGACTGAGGCTCTGGCACACCACACCCTCGTCTCTCCAGATCGGATCTCCACCCACACGGCCCGTCACCGCGCCCGGTCCGGTAGGAAAGGCACCACTGGACAGAAAGGCCCCGGGCAGTGGGAACCGAACAGTGACGTGTTCGACGAGCGGACGTAGACGGATGGAGCTCCAATTGGAAAGTTTATGAAAGTTCCTAATTGGTACTAAGACACACAGAACGATTTGCAATCTTTTTGCTGTAGTCTATAGTACATGGAAGGATGAAGGCATGGCAGGAAGGGCCCAGTGCGTTCTGAAAGAGATGCTTTGTTTTTTCTTCGACAAAGACCTCGAGTTTCCGGAGGAAAGAGGCCCGGAAAGAAGAACTGGATTTCTTGCTTCACTTGGTGGTGGAACAAGGGCATGAAGCCCAAATGGTTGCGATGAGCTTGTTTCATTTGCAATTATATTAGTATACGGCATGTAATATAATATATATATAGACATCAGTTTGCACGAGTCAGCTTACCTGGATCTTCCAACCAATTGAAAAGTTCGGCCTTTCATGCAGAAAACCAGCCGGAAGGCAGACAAGTCGCAATTCGTTGGAAGATGTCGGGATATGGCTGAAATTCCAAGCTCCACCTCCTTTGGAAGGAAGAGAACCCTCTTTCCACCGAAGTATCCCGGAAGTCCCGATTCGTTTTTCGATTTTTCAAAACAATTGGGTCCAACTCCCTCCGTTCGGTTGGAGTTTCTCACGGCTTTCTCACCAATCCCGTTTTGGAGTGACCGGGTGTGACCGGGAATGACCGGGCGGACCTCGACCCGATTCCGCGGAGTCCGCCCGTCTCGAGACGGTGTCCTCGGTGTTGCGCGGCGGGTGGGTCGGTGCACCGGTTTCCCGTGGTGAAGCCCGAGCTGTGAATGACCATGAAACAAAGGAAACAAGAGTCAGTTGAACTGGTTTTAGTCAGGAAATCAAACATATGCCAGGACCTTCGTGACCTTTCTGGCGTCTCTAAGTGACCTTTGATGGGCCTATATATACAAGTGACCTCATCCGGGTGTAAAAGATTGTAAAGAGATGTAAAAAGCGTCATGGTTGCTTGGAATTTCAGGCTGGTTCAGACCCTTGAAACAGATGGTAGGCAAACGGACTTCCCAGCAAATTCACAGAATTAGCCATCCATGGGACTGACATATTTGTCTACACTGGAGTGGTGCCAGGGGGGTCAATGGGGCATATATTCCAGTGCTGTTCCTGTTCGTCGCCGCTCCGAGCCAGGTCGAGTGTTGATCGTGAAGCCGGTGGCCAAGGCCTATGTCTTGTCAGGACCGGTGCTCTGCGGACTCGTCTTGTGGTCGTCATTGGTTTGAATGGTCGAACGAATCGCCTGGTTTGAACATTTCTAAAAACAAGGCTTTTCGTTACAAACACCAGGTCAACAGATTTTGGAGGGTCTTTCAGAAGGCGAACGGGAGGACGAAGGCGTCTTCGCGGCCCGAACAAGATCGCAGTGAGATGTGAATTCATGTCCATTCACGGCCCAGCAGAAAGTCACCTACCGAGATGCTTCGGAACACCAAGTGCCAGTGGTTTGAAGAGGTTCCATGTGGGTCTCTTCCAGCTTTGACGAACTTGATGTGACCATGTGAACCCCCTGCGGAGTTCGATCAATTCCCAAGGGAAAAGGTTCTATATAATATATATGCATGTCGATTTCGCTTCCCAGTTGTACCACCTGGCAATTCAGATCCTCAGGGAGGTTCGTCCCTTCGTCCCTGGTGGATCTACAGGACGCACCTCTCCGTTCGTTCGCCTCTCCTCCTCGAAACTGCTGCTCTCCCACCAGCCTTCCGCTTTCGGAGGACACCTCCTGCAGCTCGGCAGACGTACGGTGATGTTTTTTCTTTGCGCCATGGTGGCGCAGAGAGGGAGGTAGCCACGCCCGCGGACGATGAACACGGGGAAAACATGGGAAGACCAGGCCCTTCCCCTAGGCCTCCAGTCGTACCGAACCTGAGAAGGTGGGACTGGGGTGGGTGCCAGGAGGGTCCAGTCATACCTTCTGAGGAGGTACGACTGGAGGTGTAGGGTGTAGGGTTCAAACAAATTCCCCCTCCTTTATCCGGAGAATCGACCCTTTCAGGCCCGATCCACGCGCGCGCGCGTGTGTGATCGACGGGATATCAAGGGGTGGGCCGTCAGTGACTCCATCAACTGTTTCTCAGGTAGAATCGGGTAGAATGGTAGCACCTGGATGACTGGGTCCTCGAGTTTGTGATAGATCCAGATTAATATCCAGATCAATCATCCAACCGGTTGGTGCTGTTTTGTTTGACCTTGCTGTGAACTCAAGTCGTTGGACCATGGATCAAGATCGATTGGGCTTGTGCATCTTCGCGAATCGCCCATCCATGTGGAGCCTCTTCGACAGACCTCGGAAAAATGGGGCCCCAGTCGCAGCTGTTTTGAAGGGGTCATGGGTCATGTCCCATTTTCTAAGGTACTTTGGAGGATCCAGGTAGAATCAATGTCCAATCGTATATCAGTATATCTGAATCGATTTTTCGGACACATGGCGAGGATCGATCTACTAGTGGCCCGGCCGGTTTTCCATGAAAGATTAGGGGAAAACATGGTTTTTGATGGGCTATGTCCGGCCCCTGGTATCTACTAGCAAACATAGCCAAACACTGAATATTGGGGACGCTCCATGAAACAAGAATAGGTGGAGTTTGTGCGGTGATTGACCCTTAATTACCACGCATCTCGGGGGTCTGTAACTGACCAACAAGGGTGGTTGGTGGACTTAAAAGAGACCATACTTGGGTTCCTGCATAGGGGGGTCCTTCCAATGATGGATCGAATCTGGGGCGCGAAGCACGAAATCCGAGTCACTACCCTGATGCTTCCAGCAATTGTGAGGGAACATCAGCGAAGTGATGAAGACTGCTGGTTCAGTTGGGGGTTTTATTTATCGAAAGTCTACAGTCTACATGATATATCTCCAACATTCCATGTATGGAACTTTTATGTACCTGTATTGAACCTTAACACATCTTAAACTCACCCTAAGCAGATATTCCGGTCCCATGGATTGGTTGGTGGAGTTACAAAGGCATTTCGACATGAACATCGGCTCACGCACCGACACGGGGTATCTTGGGGGTCCTGTGGTCGTCTGGACCTGCCACGCGGCGACTCAGCGGTCGAGTCGCGCCCCGCAGCGGTCGTCTGCGGAGGTCCAAGATGAGCTTGGCGGAGTGGCTCCTGCAACGGAAGTGGCCAGTCTTGGCAGCCGCCTGGCCGGGAACATGAGGGGCCAGGAGGTTTTTTGGGAGGGAACATGGAAGCTACTAAGTGCATCGGCACTAGGAACAAAACACGGGAACATAGACCAATGGAAAAAGTGCATAGCCATCAATACAAAGCCACTTGATGAACCTCGTTGGTTTCTGGCACAGTGAAGATCAAATCAGAGTAGGAGAGTATGAGAGAAGGATGTTTGAAGAAAAGAATAATTTTGCAGGAAAAGGTCACTGAGATTGCCAAAATGATTGTCAGAATGGTTGCTTTTGAGGGCTTGCAGCCACTGGTAACAGAAGCATTCCTGAAACAAGACAACATCCTGTGTGGATTGGACACAGTGAAGAAATCCAATGAAGAATGGACATTCGGGATTATCAGGAGCATGTGTTCAACATTATTGGTTTCGCAGCAGTGATCTTTGTACTTTTCAAGATCTACAAGCACTTTGCGACCAGCTATCTTTTTGTAGTTGATTCAAACCGCATATTGGACTACATAGAGACTCTCATCAAGAGAGTTGAGAAGCAAATTGAAAGAGTTGAAGAACGGCTTGGAATTTGGAGAGAGGAAGAACTTGAACACGAGGTAGACCTACTCAGAGATTATGCCAGGAGAGTTGCCATTCTCAGCTATGATATTCTGAGTGAGATCAATGCAGGAAACTACTTAGCCAGAAGGAGTTTGGAGGCTATGCAATCTACAGAAGGATGGTATGAAGGACACAGAGTAATGCTAGAGTAGGAAACAGAGAAATGTCAATGAGATCAGAATATATACGGATGCAGGCAGCACAGATGTGTGGTAGACCCCAGACCAAAATTGAGAAGTTGAGAACGCAACATTGGGACCTACTAGGATTGGGAGATCAAGATCTTGCAGGTAGAGTTGAGCGAGAACAAGAAAAGTATGAAGAGCGACTTGCAATAGAAGAATACAGAAGGGACAACCCAGATGCTGACCCAGCAGAAGTACGCTCTAGGAGCCCAGTTCTTGGAAGAAAAGAATAAGCCTGCAGAGACACAAGAATTGAATGGAAGAAAAAGGATTATGGTGGCTAAGTGAACTCAAGAAGCATCTCAGAGTTTCACAGTGCCAAAGAGTGCAAACCATTTTCCATGTAAACCACAGTAGAGATGTACAGCATAACTAGCATCATGTCAGTCATTTTCACCTGACTGCAGCCCCTTTTGAGTATCAGGAAAAGTGCGTACAAATAGAGTTTTGCAATGACCATGAAGATCTAAAAACTATGGTTGTTGGACTCTCAGGGTTGGATGGTACTTTTGGGCGCGCTTGCGGCCTCGCGGAGTCCACGAAAAGCGGAGGTTCATGGAATCTCTGGCCACTTCTCACCGTCCCAAAACACTTCACACCCCCAGTGACCCCACAACACAGCCGGTGTCCAGCTTTAAGAGATCGAGCGACTCAGTTCCGACCAACCCACCGACCAACCCACCACCACAGTCTGTCTCCTTGGGGGTTCCCTAGGCTTCCTGGCCCATTATATAGATTTATATAGCCTGAAGCCCAAACAACCATGGTCTTACTAAACGATTTTACACTACAACACCAGGTTGTTCCCAGTTTAGTTGTTGAAAGGAAACCTAGGTTTTTTTCTCATGGTGTCATCCTGTGCCAAAATTCCGGGTTCAGGCCATCTTGGTGGCGCTCAGCTTGCACATCGTCGAGCTCTTTGGAGTGGCTTGGACTGCTGGAGGTGGCGTGGACCTTGCCAGTGGCCCTCAAAACCATGAAAAAAGTTCTCACACTATGGAAAACCACGTTTTTATGGTTTGTGGGGCGCCTGGTAGGGCTCCTGGACTGCCTCCGTTTTGAATCAGTGAGGATGTGGGAGGGATGGGACAATGAACAACGCCGATCCTTCCGTATTCTCTAGCCACATAGCCGAGTCCCAGAGATGTACCGATATGAAGCGGCTGAGGAAGTCGGGTCCGAAGGAGCCCACGTGCCGGCATTGACGAGAAGCGATCGTGCCTGAACAGCGACTGAAAGCATCGCTTCTCGTCCGCCTGAGGTCTGCAGTGAGATTTTGGAGTACACAGGACGGCGCCCGTGGCTGGCGCCATGCGAGACGACCTGGGTGGTCGGTGCAGTGTGTACTACTCCCTACACGGGCCTCCAGTCGGTCGTGAACCGCTTCGGTTCGGGACTGGGGTGGGTGGCAGGAGGGTCCAGATACCTTCAGAGGAGGTACGACGAAGTCGGTGTAGGGACTATGATTGCGCCAGGAGAGTTCGGAGATGGTCATGGTTTGAGTGCGAGAGGCGCCCTAGAGGTCCAGTTCGACTCTATTTGGCTCCACCTGAGTAAGGGAAATTCCTACACTGAGATTGCCTATAGTCACCACAAGGTGCTCGTGTCTTTCTTTTTTCAGCAGCTATAGTGGAATATTTGCCTTCATTGGGGTGACTTCAAGACAAGCTTACCTCAGCACCCGAGCACCCAGTAATTCAGTTTTTCCATCGTCTTTTCTCAATGATGCTTTGCAATCTTAGATTGAAAAATGACCTCATTTGACTGGACGTGGTCATGCAGGATGATGTAGGATGTAAAAGACCATGGTTTTACTGGGTCTTTGAACTGGTAGGGATTGGTTCAAATCTTCACATGGTTGGGTCCGGACGCCCAATTCGCTCGGGCGCCTGGGTGCGCTAACCCGTCGACCCCGAAGCTTCTCGGAAGCTCCTCGGCTCCTCGGCTCAAAAACCCACCGCCAAGCAAGGGGTCGCAAAAAACGGGATGAAGTCTCGGTGTTTTTGCTTCCGAAAAAAGGAACCAAAAGAGTTAGGTCAGTGAGGTTCACCGTTTCTTTTTTGTGGTCTAGCATCAATCCTGGTTGAAGCCCCCCACAAAAACATTAGTATACCTTGGGGGCTTCGGAGCCGCCTTCAAAGCCCAAGCCGGTCACACTCCGTGTGGGGGGACCTGCGGTTTGATCACCCGGGGACCCGGGGCTCGGGCTCTCACTGCCGCCGCCGCCATCGGCACGACAGGAGGCACAGGGGTAGTGTTGGTGACCAGACCCACTTGGGTCTCCTGGCTCACTGGAACCTCCACCTGCCGCTCGACCGGAGGGTCTTGGTCTCCAGAGTGGAAGACCTGCGGTTTGGGGCTGCCGTGTCCAGGATGGGAAATTCCATGGTCCAGCAAAAGTGGTATGGTTCTTCTTCGTTTAAAGAAACTTTTGGAGAATAGAAGATTCCATGGTAAGGAGAGTTCACCCTTAGAAGCGAACACTGTGGGAAGGACATCTTCAAACTCCCTGCCTTCTTATCCTTAGTTTTGCTGAGGGTGATTAGGTGATTCTTTTTCCATATTATTGGGTGAATCATGGTGAATCCCCTTCTGGGGAATCTGTTTCGGTTTTTTCTGGTTCCTGGACTGCAAATCCAGCGTTTCCGACCGGCAGGGTCACAGAAGAGAGGACCGGTGATCCAGATCTGCACGGCGCGTTTCGGACGGAAGTTGAGATCATTCATGAGGCAAAGGAGGCTTTCTTGGGCCGCACTCTTGATATGTCGTCTCTGCCTCCCAGCCTGAAGAGGTTTGACAATCCCAGCCTGAAGAGGTGAAGCAGCATTCGACGAAGGCCAAATGGGAGTCCAAGCGCTCAACTTCATCAGCCTAGCTCCCAGCCTGGTGGCCCTGCGGGGAGAAACCCACTCTCTACGCAGGCATCTTCCAGCACATCGGATCGAGGATCCGCATGCTTCAGGTAAAGAACAAACACAGCTTCCCTCTCTTTGTTGGCATGCCGCTTGAGCTGAAGGTGGAACCCTTCATCCCTGCTGGGTTGTACCCTGACAAACCGATCACCGCGCTGGTCGACCAGTTGCCCATTCTTCCAAATGCGGCACAACGTATGATTACTTGCATAACCTGGTCCTCACGATTTCACATGACCCTCCATCTCATGCAGAAATCCCTATCCCAGATTTTGCAAACACAGATGCTCCGCGACCATGGCCGGAATGGCCAGAAATCCATCCATTAAAAAGAGACAAATTCATTCAACAACAACGAGTGGCGCTTTTTCGAAAAAATAATTGGACCTAATCGCTCATCCTGGCCCTAATTAGTTTGCCTCCAGTAAAATTCGCAATGCCTGCAATAATTCGGAAGCTTCTATCTTGACTTTGGTGCCTTTTCGCTGTTGTTCGTAGACGCCTGGTTCCCTGTACATACATGTTTCAATCACGTTGTACACATTTTGAGGTAGAGGTTTCACTTCTCATACCCACAGTACGGGGGCTCGTGGGCGCGCGTCAGACAAGGACCGCAAGTTCGCGCATCCAAGTTTGGGGTTATCATCCCAGAGGCTACAGCATCTACATCACGTGGGGCCGACAGACTCATGCTCTTTCCACGAGAAAACCATGTCTGAGACTTTCTGAACCCGAAGCTTCGACACCCGAGCCGCAGACCCAAAACGCCCTTGAAATTCAGCCCGCCTATTGCAGCCAATCATTTTTCCAACCATATTCTTTCGGCTGACATGTTCAGGATGTGTCCTGAAGGTTGATAGCATTCAACCTTGAGGTAAGACGTTAACCGCAATGCCGCAATACATGGGTTAACTTGTGGCAACTGCGAACACACTTGATTCATGGGGCGACATGCAATAACTCTTCACTTAGATGTGTTTGTGCCTGTCTTAGGGTTGGGACCCTGCGTAACGCATTCACATGCATTTACTGAAACAGTGTCTTCACACTGAACATGTACTCAGAGTCTGCATGTGTCCACTTCTTGCGGTTCAGACCTTGTGCAAAGACCTTATGCCAGCACCCGACTCACCGCTCGATTGGCCTAAAGAAGGGTGAAGGTCTTAGAGGTCTCGGCCGAGTGCTGGAGATGGCAACCTGTGGGTCTTTGAATCGGGAGACCCCCGAAATTTCGCCCCTGGGCTGGGTGAACTCCCTTTCCGCCTGGGAGGTCTATTTGAGCTACACACCCGTTTTCTATGCACCCTCAAGGCTAGGAATGGCCACTTGAAGGATGACTATAGGGACTAGTCTCGGTCTTCTTCAAAGTTCCTGGCAGGATTGTTCAACACGTTCGGAAGATGGACGATTTGCTCCGCGCGGTGAGTCCCCGACCCCGCTCCCCCGCCGTTCTGGAAGAGAAAGCAGCTGAAGAGGGCCATTGATTGCCAAGGACAGCGCGTGTGAAGACCTTTGGGAAACTACCCTCATGATCCTGTTTCATGCATGAAGTTCAGAGTGCTAAGAGCAATGTGGTTTTAGTACCACGGAACCGCTTGATCCCAACGCTTCATGCAGGTGTGTTGCTTGGCTTCGCACTCTTTTGCGTGACGACTCGCGCTGGGCTTCCTAGCCGCTCGCGAGTCGCGCAGCTCGGGGGACAGGTCAGGAGGGTTTGGGTTTGGAGCGCAGGTTCGTGAGACAACCCACACCCAGACGCGACCCATGGGACGGCCAGTCCGGACTGCCGCCCCAGCCAGACCCCCCTGGCACCACCCCAACTGATCGGCATATATGGCATACATGGAGTGTCTGGGACAAGATCCACCAGTTGACCGATGTGGGTATGGATTGAAATAGGTCTCGACCTCCCCAATGACCTGGAAGGTGGAAATCGATCAGTCTACCGGGCCATCAGGAGATGTCCCGAGATACACACCCATGTCACAGAACACAAACTCTTCCAAACAGGCCGCAGTTCTTCTTTCAAACCGGTTCTGACTTCCGATCGGCTGGCCGCACCAGTCCAATCGATCATCGATCAGGAACCCATCCCGGTCCTATCCCCTTGCAGATGAACGCATTCTTTGGTTGAAGCGCCTTGGGTGCCTTCTATCAGGATCCCCTATACAGTGTCTATGAATAGCCCCAAAAAGGAGTGTCCACTAACCAATTTCACAAGTGGGTCCGAGAATGGAAGATGTCGATGACCCAAATCCTTGCGCTTTGGTTCATTGAGATTCATCGTCGAGCAGCAGGCTGCACCGGGCATACCTCCCCATGTGCCATGAAGACTCCTCCCGATGTGCCGTGGTTTTCTTCGAAGCAAAAGGTGTTGCGGATTGGCCATGGTGTCCTTCTCAGAAGGTACGACTGGAACCCGACAATGGCACCTACTTAACAGTGTCGAACACATCACCTTCTGACAAGGTACTTGGATCCCTAGCGGGGTCATAAATCACCATGGTTCTGTACTTGCCGTGGTCTTCGAACCTCCTGCTCCACCGGTGACCCCGCGCGGTCTCGCCCCATCCATCGACCTCTCCGCTGCTTCGTGCGCTGCGCCTCGCGAGGTCCACAGTCAGCTGCTGCGGATGACCTTCTCGAGTTTCGATCCCTGGGCCCGGCAGCCCAGCGAGGTCGGCGGCTTCCGAGCCCGCGAGGTCGGCGGTGGGTTGGCGATCGGTGTGGGTTGGGGCCGTTGAAAGTGTGGGGCGGCAGGTTGGCCATTGGCCAAAAGGTATATATCACAAGTCTGGAGCTCGTCAATTTTCATAGACCATCTCTGATATGGTGTTTTTGAACATACAACACATCTGCCCGGAGCTCACTTAGGGACCCCAAATAAACCCATGCATTTTGGAACTGCTGGGTTCGAAGAGAGGTTCGGCCAGGCCAGTTTCGGCCCATCGGCCATCGCGCCAAGGCCATCATCTTTTCGATGGTCCGTGCTTGTGCGGCGAAGATCTACTCTCGCCACGTGGTGTCTCGGACAGTGACCCATTGGGAGCCAGAAGCATGCTGAGCTGGGTGTGTGTGTCCCGTTCGGCCTCCAGTCGTAGCGAACCTGACGTTCGGTGGGACTGGGGTGGGTGACAGGAGGGTCCAGTCATACCTTCAGAGGAGGAACGACTAGAGGTGTAGGGTGTGACTAAGTAGCCCTCAAAGTCTCGTGGAAAGAATAGTACACAAAAATACAGTACATCCTAAGGGGGCCAGTGGGGCTGGCCTTCTGATAAAGTACAGATCTACATTGGAGGTTTGGGTTATGGCTTTCTGAACCTCTCTTCAGATCTGGAAAACACTGTATCTAAATCAGGGGTGGAATCTGGATGCATCAGGAGAAGGATCAGATTGACGAATGGACAACACTAATGGGGTGCCAGATGCACTTTCACACACGAGTGCAGCAAGAGTCTCAAGAGCCAATGTGGTCAGCTGGCTTCACTGTGTATTTGCTACTGTACCAAAAGGTTGTCAGACTGATACGAATAGCAGCTACACATGCACAAGATGTGTCCATATTCCGAGGGCTCTTAGAGCTGAGGTGTGTGTAGAGTGTCATATGAGGTGTGCATAGGTGTGCCATGCTTCAACACAGTACTAGGCGTTCCTCGCCACATTTACCAGTCATGTTCTGCCACTTTTCCAGAGATTCTGGCATTCTCCCGGCAGTCCACATGGACTGCCACGGCTGAACTCACGCACAAACGTGCTATTTCCGGTGATGGTGGACCGGAAGAGACACACGCCTCCACTCATGGGGCTGTCTGGATTTTCGTGTCGGATCACCACTTCAGACCAGTAAAGGGCCCCTCTTCGACACACAGACTTTCTCCCTTCTTTCAGAAGTACCTGCACCCGACTGACCCAGGACCTTAGGACATGGGACTTCCCCCTCTAAAAAGCAGGTCAGACTGAGTCCCCATTTCACCAGCTACGAATGGGTCGACTTCAGGCACCATTGTCCTGGCGCGGGTTCGGTCCGCACCCGGGCGGGTGCGGGCCGGTCGCCTGTCCCAGGTCCATTTGGCGGCAGAATATGAACTCGAGGCGTTCGGGGCGGGCCCTGTGCGGAAAGCGGAGCGGAACAGGGTTGATGATTTGATGCTTAGAGTGGATACATCTAGTGAGCCGCCCTTAGCCACGCCCTTGGTGTTTTTTTCAGAGGGGATACCCCTGTTCGTGAACAACCAACCGCAACTGCCCTCTAGAACTGCCCATTTCTGTTTTGCAAGTCAGTATTGTGTTCAATCTATGTTGCTGTAAAGGTTGTTATTAGATGCTGATACAGCCTCATGTAAACTTTGCTGTTGTCACCAAACATCAACGACAAGATACCTCAGAACCAATGTGGACTGTGTAGTTGTATGTATGTTCATATATGTATGGTACCAACCTGGCCCCTCTATGATTCCGAACGTCGAACATCGTTGGTAGGGAAGCAAGGGATCAGTGCTTTCGAACCTGAGGAGCAAACACCAGTGGTGAACAACGAGTAGTAGCAAACGGCATCGCTATAATTATTAGGAGCAAGAAGCTACTAGTAGCTCCTGGCATTACTACAACTATAGTAACAAGGGCTATTAGGAACAAGAAGCATCAGAGGGCTACTAGTAGCCCCCGGCATTTCTAGTCGTAACAAGGGCATCGCTACTAGAAGCTACTAGCACCTCTCGCCCCAAGCGGTGACCTCTTTTCGGGGCTATGAATGGACACCCGGAATCCGTGGTGTCAGATGGCAGAGCAGTGAAAGGTTGGTATTTCTTGGTTTTCCCAGACGCTCCGTGGGTCCCGAACCAAACCATAGGGCTTGGTTCAGGTCCGGACCCCTCTAGAGGATTCGGGTCCGACCCCTGCATATGAGGGTCCAGGAGCGTCTGGTTTTGATCCATTGATCCCGGAAGATCCTCCGTGGCGCACATCGAAAGCTATGCCTGGCGATGAGATGGGGGCGTGAAGATCCTCTAGCGAAAGCATCGATCATGGCTGTGCTTATGAGGGATCACTGGTTTCTGGGGCATCAAAGTGATCACTCATTGGTTCTATAAGCGATTTGGGTGAGTTTCATGGGTGCTTTCTGTTTCCACGGCCACTTCTGTTCGAAGAAGGTCACAAAACACAACACCGGCTCGTGATGACTGGCGGGTTTTTCCTTCATGATTTGTGATGACTGGTGGGTTTTCCTATTATGTTTTCCTCCATGATCGTTGGAGGTGGTGCGGTGCTTCCGTGTGACGCACGGACGTACGATTCACATCTTCTGACGCACGTCGTCATCGTGCGCAGCTCGTGAGATCATACCCAGACACGCCATGTCTGTCATATATGCCGCCCCAAATCAACGGCATATATGGCAGTCCCAGTGGCAGTCCCATGGAGTGTCTGGGATATTGTGTGTGTTTATCGTGAGATCATATGTGGACCCTCACCTCGTCGTCAATCGATCTCACCTCGTCGTCGATCGGTTTCCTTCCAGCTCCCAATCCCGAAGGACAACACCAACTCCCGTCAGTCGAAGGTGCCGACGCGTCAGCTCAAAGCACCGGAAACAGCTCAGGTGCACAGCTATTTTGGCTATCTCATCATCGACACTGCTGCTTGGCGTCGGTTCTGGGCGTCCGTTCTCGACCAATTCATGGGTTCCTGTATGTTCCTGTCGACGCGGCGTCGCGCAGCAGCTTAGTAGGTGGTACGGTGGTACGGGCATGTTTTTTTCTGCTTTGAAGGTATGTCGTCGCGTCGTAGATGATCGTAATATATCGTAAATGTAAATTGAATAACTACTCCTTAAACTAATGTAACTAGACTCTTGATTAATAACCCCAGCCATTTGAATTGAATATCCTCTTCATATGGAGGGTTTATTAATCAAGAGTCTGCATTACTCAAGAATCGTAGAGGACCAGCGATGTTTTTGTTGAGCTCCTGGGCTGGACAGTCGAGCATAGTCGAGCCAGTTCCAGGAGGTTTTGTGAGAGGAGGGCCTCCGTCTCACTGGAAGTGGATGACCAGCGACAAGTGACATCTCCTCTTGCAAACTGTGACATAAACACTCCATCTCAATGTTAGTGAGTCAGACTGTACATCAGGACTTTTCTTAGCTCAACTCCAGCCTGACCTCCAGCCTAACCGGAAGATCCCAACCCAAGCTCTAGTGGAACAAGTTCTTTGGATTTCTTTGGTAAGCCACTGAATGCGATGATTGAAGTCCTTCATGTAAGTAAAGCATGACCTACATTCACCACCCTCAGATTGGCAAACCCCTCATGTCGGCAAGATGTGCCACCATGGATCGTCAATGAGTTGAAAAAGCGACCAAGTCACCAAGTCTCCAGTGGACAGCGGCGACTGTTATGAGCAGCAACAGCTGTGGATGGCTCTACTCTCACCTGTCCCAATCTGGGCTCCCAATTTCTTCAGGGCCTCCAATCTTGGAACGGAAAGGCTGCCCACCAGACGCACCCACCTCACCACCTCACAACAGACACACCCACCTCACCCACCTCTCCCGGTTTCTTTCGCAGTCTTTCCCACCGCTCTTTTCTCCTGGGCGGATTCGGATTGACTCGGACTCGACGGCGAAAGTACCACATCGCCCAGACAGCTCCACGACTTGGACATCTCAAGAAATATACCTATAAGTCTCAGTTCGTACCTCGGAAAATGGGTACAGTCGTACCTGTTTTTAAGGGGTCATGTCCCATTTTCTAAGGTACTTTGGAGGGTCCAGGTATATATATATATATATTGGGTTTGTCCATGTCTGTCCTAACTTGCCTGTAACAGTCAATAAACAAGAACATCACTATGTTCGAACAAGGCTTGCAACTGTTTCACCATCATCCACTGTTGCTAATAGGATAGACCCAACCCATACAATCCATTTGACCTCTGTTTTGATTGAACGGAACCAGTTTTTGGGCACTCCAAAACAGGGGTCAATCTAGCAAAGATTCAACACCGAAATCTTATGATGTTAAGAACTCTTCAAATCTTTCGAACTTTCACGTCCTAATCTTGCCATGGTTCCACTCCCTTCTCACGTGTCACCCAGCTCTCGCTGCTCCGGCGCTCCGGCGCGCCCAGGTGGTCTTCGTGGAACTCAGCGCTCTACTCATCATCACCGAAGCGGCGGATGTGCCCAAGGACTTCACCCGTGGCTTCGTGGCGTGCCTCGGACAGGGACTCATTGGAAGAGTTGCAGTCTGTCGCTACTTCTGAAGAGCCACACAGAGAGTCTGTCGCGAAAAAGGATGGATGGAGAATGAAGGTGTACACCCAGACGCTCATGGACCCTCCTAAGTAGGGGCGAGACCCGAATCCTCTGGAGGGGTCCCAGACCGTCAAATCCTAGGTTTTGAGGGACCAAAGCCCGTTTGGAGCGTTTGGGCAATTCATTTTTTGGAGAGCATGTTGTTGGCTTTTCTGGGGGTTCCGGCAGTATGAGCCTTGATATGCCTGTCAGTGTTTCAATCAGAGACCCCTCATCTGCTGCGAAAGGGAACCGGGTCAGTCACCCCCCAAACATTGGGGTCGAAAGAAAGCACAGTACAGGCCCATATACTGTAGCTGCCTAGGTTCAGCCCAGACGCTCTGTGAAACACGCCCAACTGGGTCCCGAACCAAGCCCTAGGGATTGGTGAGAAGGTCCGGACCCCTTGAGGATTCAGGTCCCTGGTTCCGGAGGGTCCAGGGTCGCGGGGTGGGTGGAAATCACTTCAATCACAGTCAGTTCGCACCCCAAGGCCTCAAGGAAGGGGCCTCCGGGGGTTGGGTTCAAGAACTCCGGAGCTTCCAAGTCGTGCTTCCTCCATATTTCAAGGGTTTCCATCGAAGGTGACAGGTGAGTCTTGGTGCTCCATGGCAGAGCATGGCATCGCACCCAAACTTGGAGGATCTGGATCAAAGGGAAGCTCTGGAATTGAGGTCCTGGATGAGATTAAGCAGACTTCGGTGGGCCAAACCGACCAAATGTGTCGATGTTGGTGCGCATGGTGAAGCGGTTTAGACCTCAGCTTTTTGGGGTCCATACCCAGACACTCCATTCCATGGGACTGCCATAGATGCCGATCATGACAGACATGGAGTGTCTGGGACATACAGTTGGCGGATCTCAGGACTCAGGACATTGGACACGTCGCGCTCCTTCACGGCCGACGTACTGAGGATTTGCTTGTGCTATTCCGTGGCCGCCGCCTTGATCTCAGGCATCGATCATGACCTACCAGCGCCCCGGGTTGAAGCAAAAATGAAACGGGTTCTAGCAGAAGCCTCCAAGATCAGATGTTGACAGGCTATACAACAGGTCAGGTTGAATGCACTGGGTTTTGTGAATCCTGAAAATCCAAGCGCCATTATATGTTCTTTAGCCAACAACCATTGAGCCATATTGAGGCATTCTTTTACTAATGACTTTAAACTACAAGACCACAGGCCAACCTTTCCCTAGAAGTCCAGTTCGACTATATTTTGACCGACTGAAGTAAAGGAAGCTCCCTTTCTGCAGGTCCCCTAGTCTTTCATTCATACTCTTTGAATGCTAGGGTTTTTGCGTTTTGATGGGCTTTTAGGACCGGATCAGCCACGTCTGACAAAAATCCGTCGACGACACGACGCCAACATCGATGGAAGTCCATACCAGCACCCTCCAACCTCTAAGAGGCTATTTATAGACACCTCTTGGAGGGTGGCACCGGGCGTGCTATGCAAGGTGCTTGCTTAGTATCCTTTTCTTCGGTTTTCGCTGCAAGATCTCTGTTCTCAATACGGTCATTATACTTAATTAAGATTAATTAAGAATAATTCTTAAGGTTTCAATCAGTACCTTAATCACTCAGTCATCTGTCGCGGATCATGCTCCCAGACCCTCCATACATTCCGCAGAGAAGGCTGTGACCGAGGCGTCTTGACCCGACCCGCGACGATCGCTCTCAGCGCTCTCGACCCACGTCTCGCCACGTCGATGTCCGCGCTGCGCACGGCTTCTTCGATGTCCGCCGATGTCGCGTGGCGGCTCCGTTCGCGCGCGGTGGCGAACGGCGCCCGCCGTTCGCTGAGGACTGGGATCGCTCGAGTACCGTGGACTTCTTGTTCTTCTCGTCGATGGCCCCACTGAGCCAATACTTTGGCGCCTCGGACTCGGCTGTTGGTTTTCCTGGGCAGCCAAGTCTCTGACCGCAAGAAGACAAGAAGAGTTCGGGGTGATTTGGTGACATGTCAAATCCTTTAAACCGCTGGTGGTTCAAAGGCCGATGGATTTTCTGGGCCAGGCATTATAGTGAGACTCCTTGTCCGCGCATGCGGCTGCGGCCACTGTTCAAGTACTGATTGCTGACACATGGAGCTGGGTGCGGGAAGTGAAGAAGTAGGAGACCACCAGGAAATTCAAGAAGTAGGAGACCACCAGTCCAGGAGTGATTCTTGATTAGGACTTCCCCCCCGAATTTGGATCGTAAGACCTGGGATTCTTAAGGCGGTCTTCGGAATCGCTCGGCGAGCGAAACACCCAAACGCGCCACAGAAACCCTGGTATCCTCGGTTGCTGGTTGCTAAGAGGTTGCAAAGAGGTTAAGTCGTCGCTTCCTCAAAGAAAGTATGTACACACACCTGGACCTGAATTTCGGGCGTGTCCTGTTTGGAGGTCCCTGATCGTGGTGGGCTGGGGCTTTGGAAGTCAGGTGACCCCGGAATGGAGGTCTAGGCATGTGTCGCTCCGATCAACTTCCAGCACTCAGCGGATCGGAGAAATCGGTCACCCCGAACACACCAACTAGACACAGAATAGGAGTGGGGGCTTTCTGCTTGGGTTTTCACTGGGCTCATGAGGGAGTTCTACCAACCTATAAGAGGGTGGAAGTTTCTGGGCGATGCCGACGTCTTCTCAAGAGGTGGAGTTTGGGGCGATTCGGAACCCTAAACCCTAAACCCTAAATTCGGACGTCTTCTGCCAGGTGCTTTTCAAGTGATTGCGCTTTTGCTGGCCAAAGCAGCTGCCAGCACCATCCTTCTCAAGCATCCTCGACGGCAGTCCGAAAGACATCGGCGGCAGTCGACACCTTTGAACCCTTGTTTCACCAATCCCATGTCGACTGCACCACTTGGGAACCCTAAAACCAAGAGAGATTAAGTGACCTTATAGGACCTTACTGGGGTACCTATGGCAATGGGATAGTCTATAGGGTTCTTCGACCTCTGGTGGAAGCACAACAAGACCCAACCAGTGGGGTATGAGTCTGACTAGTCGGAGCCGTTCCGCTGGAGACCGCGGAGATGCCGAGCGGGTCCGCAGCGTTTGATATGCGTGTGGTGCCGAACGGAGGGGGAGAGGGAGGGAGGCTCCGAGATGCCCTATAATGGAGCAGAGAGTGGACCTCTAGCTTCGGAAGAGTGGATTGCCCTTTATACCTGGTTTCACCCAAGTCTGGATGGAACTCCCTTGGGCCACTTCCTTTGCTTGAGGATCTCAAGCAAGCCATAATTCAATCAACCATTCCCAGACACTCCAGTCCATGTATGGCATATTCACATGCATTGACCCCAGGTCAACCACCCCAATGTAGGTAAATATGATATACATAGCACGGAGTTTTTGGGATTTGTTTCTGGTTGTCTAGTTGATTGTCTGGATTTCCAGGTATTGACTTTTGGGGGCATTGGGGACACGCCACTAAGCAAGAGGTGGCAAGTGCATCATATGAACCTGGCTTGTTGCAGATGCTGCCCATCATCAGGTGGACAGTTCATACTTAAGTCTTCATTTTCCAGGGAGACTGAGGGAGTCCAAGTCTTCCCCAGCTCAGCGAGTGGTGTCGGAACCTGGGAGCGACCCAGTTCTTCTCACTTCGGCGCCCGACCCGGTTCTGACCCGACACCTTCGCCCGGCCACTCTCCCATTGGTTCGGGCCCGACAGGTTCTTTAGGGCACAGAAGAATAGGCGGCTTCGTGGTACAACTGGTCAATGCCTGTTGCCTGTTGACTCCTGTGATGTTTCACTGTCACTGGTGCCAAGGCAGGACTTCATGTACTTACGATGTCACTATGACTCTCGGCTCCGCCAAGGGTTGGATCCTGGAGGAGGATCGAGGAGGATCGACGTGGTTCACAGAGATCAAAGAGTCTTTGCGTCCTTTGTGGTACAAGGAAGGACTCTTCTTCTTCGGACCACCCGTGCACCATGCTGAAGTCCATAAAAAAACCATATATATATATATATTATCGATGGACAAAATATGACAACATCTTAACGGTTGAAGAAGGGTCATTAAGTTCAACTCTACTTGTCCAGATGGTGCGTCAAATGCTTGTTTAGGCCTCCCAATCATTTCATGATAGTTGGAGCCGGACACCCAACAACCATACAAAAAATGCACGATCAATGCATGTTTTCCCAAACAACCACTTGAAGATGTAAAGGGATCTCCATGGGAGCAGCTATTGGTTTTCTGGTAGGGACTGGGTTTCCGAGCTGAGTGGCTTTCGCTCGAGTGGACTGAGGATGTTTGCTTGGATCAGCTGGAAGCATGCTTTGCCAAGCTGGCCATTACCGAGACCAAGCTGGATATTTGGGAGGACATGACCGAAGGAAATTTTTCAGGCGCCCAGGTCTTGTCCAAGGGGTTGTTACATGGAAACTGATTGCGCTTTCTTTTTAAGCCTCTCGCCTAAGACATTCTGTATGGAATCACCCAAAAGCCACCCCAACCCTTTCTGCCCAGATGGGCTCTCCATGGCAGTCGGGCCCTGCATCCACCGAAATGGGGGAAAACGGACCCGAGCCAAACCCTATGTGTGTTGCCTTCAGGGGCCTGGATTCTTAGGGTAGGGTCATGGCACGTCATGTTCCATTTTGAGGTATTTATACCCATCGACACAATGGTTGACCTGGTTTCGTAACTTTTGTAGTGTAAAATCCTGGGTAAAACAATGGTTCTTTTTCTGGCGGACCGGTGACGTCTGACGTTGAGAACCCCCCCCACCCCATGCGCCATCCTCCGCTGCGTCGCCGCGTTGAGGAACCCTCCAAGATCCACTTCGAGGACTTCGCCACCGTCCTGGAGAGCTGGGGCCACTCCGCTGGGAATTCCCGACGTTCCACCGCATTCCCGAACGCGTTTGGGCGTTCAGGGCACCCGTTGACGATTCACATTGATGGCATGGACTCTTTTGGAAGACGAGTTTCCTCCGCCACCAACACGTCCGTGTGGTGCTACGCCGTCTCTTTTCTCTGCCCTCGCCATCTCCTCTGCTCGTCCGGTGGCATCTCCATCCAGGCATCTCCGACGACGCGATCTTCGCGGGCTTCCACCGCCTGGACGTGGCTTGGTCGACGCGTTAGACGTGTTACGCCCGCCGCCGTTGCCGTTGATCCACTGCCCTCTGACCGGCGACGCGCGGTTGGTGCGTCGGAGGTGGGTTTTCTCACGGGTGAAGGGGTGGAGCAGGGTGGGCCACTGATGAAGGTGCCGCACCAATGGTGGGAAGGTCGGTTTTTGAAAGGAATGATGATTGAACCTAGTTCATCTGGTTCTTCACCAGTCCCAATCCAGTAACGGCACCGCCCCTCCGTTCGTTGGGCACCCGTCTCTCCATGGAACTGGAGGCTGACGTCTCGGTGGAGGGAGAGCTAGCCGCTGTCGTGATGTCCGCTGTCTGAATCAGACCTGAGGTAACATGGTTCTATTGTGGTTCAGGTGTCGTGAGGGAATGCAGTATGAGCCAATCAATATCATAATTATGTGTAGGATGGATTTTGGTCGTGTTTCATCAATCCGGATGCTCGTCGTCCGAATTGGGATGTCTCCAAACCCATTGGACGCAGACTCTACCTGTGACCGGCGTCGGATCGACGAGACGAGGCCGGATTCTCGGGGCCTCCGGATCGAATCTCCATCCAAATCCTGCTGGGATTCGTGCATGAAGCCAGGAAAACATCAATTTCACTTCTACATTTTCCTACCTGGACCTTCATTTCAGGGTGATCAAGACTAGCAGGTAGTGTAGGGTAGTCCATTGGAGATTGACCCCGAAAGGAAGCTGCTGGTAGATGGTCCCCACCAATGATCGCCTCACGTGGATCAGGTGGAACAGGTGGGCTACGTTGGCCTTAATGAATTCAAGGTCTCCTTACGCAGCTGGCATGCAAGCAGCTTCCGGTGTTCGGTTTTACTGCGGACGTCACGTTGGGATACTGGACATGTTGTTGAGCGGATATTTGGAGGATTCGATATTCTTGGAACGATTTTTGTCTGCTCGAGATCTCTAAACGTCTTCGGCCCTGCCCCCAAACAGCTTCAGAAAGATTTTTGGCTGGACCCTCTTCACATCTCTTCTTGACCACCTCTCCTTTCTTCTTCCCTGGGCACCAAACCACCCAACTGTTGACCTGAACTTGATCTGCAAATAGGACATCAGGCATCACCAGATGAGCCACCACTTTTATTTTCTCTTGACATGTCTTGACTAAATGTCTACAGAGTCTACGCCATGCTCCAATGGTTTGTCCAACATCGGCAAAACCTGGGTGGGGACACCGGGGACACGTAAGGAAGCGGTCAAGGGACCGGTAGCAAGCAAGTGACCCACACTCAGCTCCCAAACAGGCTTTAATAGCCAAATGATCCATGCGATAGCGTAAGCTATCACCTGGGTTTTGCCATCGGCTTTCCCAAACAGGACTGAAAAGACGACCATATACGACCCACACCATCGTCGATGGGAGAACTCCCGACAGTCCCGTGTGGAGATCAGTGGTCGACTCGTCGACTCGGTCGACCCCATTTGACGAACAAAAGAGAAAGGTCACACGGTCACACGGCCATTGGTGTGAAACATCTGCTGTTTAGTCACACGAAACAGCACGAGTGCTGCTGTTTGGTGAGCATCACGTTCTTTTTCCGGCGATCCATGCGACCTCGCCGCGACCTCGACAGGAGGCATTTTCTCGGAGTTTCCAGACGCCTCCGCCCCTCGGGTTGCGGCCGTGGGCTCCGCGGAGGGCTCCGTGGTGGGGAGCCGGTGGTGGGAGCTCCGGACAGCCGCATCCAGACACCCCAAACAAGGCCCAAGGCCGGATCTGCCGGGGGGGGTCCTTCTTTCAGGAAGGTATAGGAAGGTCGTCTCTGAACTCTGAAGATGCCATAGAACCTTTGCACATGCGATAGCGTTGCAGTCATCGCAAGAGCTTCACCGGTCGTTTTTGCTGACAGGTTCTGATTGAAGCCCCAGCCCACCTGAAGGACCCCCAAAGTTCCTTTAAGCGCACGTTCTGAAGGTTCCAGCTTGCAAGATTATGTTTTCCAGCGAACGAGCGAACGACAAAGTTCTCGATCCATTGGTCCGAACCTCAAAAGAACTCGCTTGTTGGGTCTCAATGACGGCACTGTAGTGTACACTACTGAGCAATAGAACCCTCCATGCGAAGAGGTAGGATCAAGTGTTTTTCTTAATCGGCAGTCTACATCACATGGGACTGGAATGTTGCAAATTGACCCTAGCCTTCAAAAAGACTATTCATAGTTGTTTGGTAAAGACCATTGAGATACAATGGTGGTTGGAATGCCAGGTAAATTTACCCCATTTATGACATGGGGTAAGACATTGTCTCCATCCTGGGCTTGGCTCGAGCTCCTGCCCCGGCTCCCGTAGCGCAAGAGGACCATGCCAGCTGGTTCGGGGAACTCTAACTTGCTCTCAACTAGTTGTGATCATCGTGTACAGCAAGGATTTTTACACAAACAGTGGATCACCCTTCCCAGACCATCCATGGGACTGGAATATATGCGGCCCCATTGACCCCCTGGCACCACTCCAAGGTAGGCAAATATGTCAGTCCCATGGATGGTTTTGGTTTATGACATCCCTTTCACATCTTTTCACCATTTTTTTGGGACCCTACAAAGACCCATTAAAGCCTGGTCCTTTACCTTCATTCTTGAATCGTGTTTTTGTATGACCAACGTCAGCAAAATGAGATCAAGAATCCTTGGACATCATGGGACATCCCAACAAGAACGACACTTCGAACCAGGTGAAGCGACCGATTCACCCGGCGTTCCCCACCATGTGATCGACCCCAGCACGGTCGGTCTCGGAGTTTTTCACCTCCTGGCCTTCATGACTTCGGGGTGAAGAGCACTCAGAGATGGTCAAGTCGTGTTACCGGTTTCGGTCTCCGGGGGTCAAAACCAGCCCAATCCATCCGCCGTTGGAACTCTGTTTCAAGGCTGGCTGGGATCCTCAAAGAATACGGCACCACTGGTGCACGGTGTTTCGCTGTACGAGCGACGGCTCAGGGAACTTTACGGAGAAAATTCCAGCCCTTCGCCCTTCGCCTTTTCAACTGGAACTCGGAGCTGACTCCCTGGCCCAGTTCGTGAAAACTTTTGAACACCATGGCGCTAAGGACACGGCGTTGTTCACGCGCTTTTGTCACAATGCTTTGACAGAGTCGATGTGCTATACCTCTCTGAGCATCTTGGACGCCGATGGGGTGCCTGGAGTCTCTCTACGCCCGACGGAGCATGAGGCTCTTGGCACCCAGAGGCTCATTGCACCCTCACAGCTAGGGTTTTGGACCTCAAATTTGTAGCAGTCATGAGCCTCTGGGAAGGAACAATGATCGGGTTTTTGGAGGCGTATAGGTATATTAATTAAGACTCCGGGCGCTCAAATGGAAAGGGGTTTGTTCGGGTCCGACCCCTGCCATGGAGGGTACAAGGATTCTGAGGTGTTTTGTGATTCCACCCCTAGAATTCCAACTATTAATATTGATATTAATGGCAATTGGTTGAGGGGTGTGGAGCACTTGAGCATTGAGCTGTCGGATCCATTCTAGATGGGACCTCAAGATGAGCATCAGCCACTATGACCTAGCCAACTAGCCCAAAAAAGGCATTTCACAAAACACGTTCGGATGGCCCCTGCTGTTCTCCCGTGGAACATTTGTTCCCCTGACATTATAGTGCATACTCTCAATGCATACTCTCAAAGCTGCACTTCTGCAGCGTTCGGACGCAGCGAGGCTTATGACGATGGAGAGAATCCACACGGAATTCGGACGACCCACAGACCAGTTCACCTAAGCTTCGGACGGGTGACCACGTGCAAGGGTGACCTTCTCCAGAAGTCAGTGAAAGCATTCAATTCAATAACACCTGGATCCGGCCCATCCATAAAACCAGCCGAACAGAAGATACAGAAGTGAATTTTGCATAATTTTGCGGTGGAGGATCCAGGTATTCAATGATCACCGAAACTGGCAGGGAGGCATCAGCTGTTGCGATTTTCACCATGCCCGATCATGGTTGGAAAGGAATTGGCCACACATAAAGGCTTTCGAAGCGCAACGTCGGGTTTAGGGGATCGGCTCCAAACCTTTGTGCCTCTCTCAGGTAGTATGTTGGCCACCGTCTTCGGGCAATGGCGCAAGCTCCGCCACGCCCTGAGTGGGACGATCGCTTGCGACCTGACGATCGATCGACTCGGAAGAATTAGACATTCCCCGGATGTGTGCCGTACCAGGGATCCACCCAGGGATCCACTGCCGTACCTCAGGGTTTGGTACGACTGGACCCTGAATGCCTCTGTGTAAAAGTGTCGGACCCCTCCAGAGGATTCGGGTCCGACCCCTCCATATGAGGGCCCATGAGCATTGTTGGATTAACTTCAGTTTGCATGACAGTCCTCACATGATGTGGGAGATGGGTTGATCCGAACATGGCCGCAGGGATTGATCAGTTCGGCAAGCAACTCTATGCGAAGCTCGGAGTGGGGGGTGGCTGCGCGGGGGGTGGCTGGCGGCGGAGAATTCGTCACGGAGCAGCTAGTTCGGGAGGTGGGCAAGCTGGAAGAAAGGAGATTTGATTTGATTGATTCGGAGTTTATTTCACTGGGCCATGTCCGAGCGGAGCTTATTGATTTGCTTGGGGAGGCAGCTGGTTTGGACGGGACCCGTAAATTCCTCATCAATGTTGCAGGAGAAAAAGGAAAGACCATACACTGCATCACAGCATGCGTATACCTACCTATAGAGTCGACCAGTTCGTACCTCGGAACATGAGGCCCCAGTCGTACCTGTTTTGAAGGGGTCATGTCATGTCATGTCATGTCCCATTTTCGAAGGTACTGGGTCAGTCCGGTCCAGGTATATGTGATATAGCTTATATATATACATCCTATACCGACAGCCCCTTTTGGACCAACCGTCCAGCGACCCGGTGTCCCCCCCCTTCCGAGCTTCACATCATCTGGATCCATCACCGAAGCTCCACTCGGTGCTGCCCATGCAGTGGACTCATATGGACTCAGCTCTCCGAGCTCTCTGAGCTCTCGGAGCTCTCAGGAACTTTACATGCCACCCCGAGATCCAACGCATTTTCCGTCACTTGGGAGGGATTTTCTTTGGGATGGAGGAAGACGTCTGCGGAGGGGTGCCAAGTCTTGCGTTGTGTTCATTTCGGATGTCCTTGGGGTTCGGGGGTGGTGCAATTTGAGACGCATCTAATATAAGTCAAGTCTGAGTCCAATGGGTGACAAGCAGTTGGATGTGTTCGCTTCCTTTTTCTGGTGATGAATTCGACCGCGTGGACCGATTGGAACCCCCTAAACCCGTTTCAGCTCCGGAGCTTCGTGAAAGTCACCTTTAGGTCGGAAAAAGGTAAGGGTCATAAGCTCCAGGACTGTCCTGTATAGATCTGTGATGTTGCACTGTCCTGCCATCCTTTTTGGATGCTTTTGCCACCCACAGACGCGCTGAATTCTTCCCAGGTGACGACCGCATGCGGACGCAAGCACTGCTCTTCGGTGCTTTTGTTCACGCGGTGCCTTCGCCGCGAAGCCATGGCGTTTTCGGGTCGGGCTCGTGACCGTGGCACAGCGGTCGCCATGAGCAACGGGAGTTGGTCAACCAGGGTATGCCCGTTTGGTCTGATCCTGAGACCCAACCTCTGAGGCTATTAGGAATGCTCCGTTCGTAGCTTCTTGTTCCTAGTAAGGCCAGGAGCGCCCCGTTCGTAGCATCCTTGCTCCTACTGAAGTCGTGCAAGAAAAACCTCTTCCTCTTCCACCCCCTCCCTCGAACGCTCTCTGCAGCTGTCCAGCGCGGGCCCCCGGGCCTAGGCGTTGGATAGCCTGCGGGAGAAGGACTTCATCAAAACCGCCAGGACGATGACTTCACTGGGTCTCAGGCATCATCTTGGGTGCGGGCAGACGGAGGTGAGAAGTTTTCGTGGAGGTGTGAAGAACTTGGAGCGTGGAGTCATAAGCCCTTCCATCACCTGTCCAAGAGAGGTCAAACCAGACCATCAGCCCTCCTATCATTCTCTATAACAAATCCAAGGCACAAGCCCTCCCTAAGGAAGACATCTCCAAGAGTCCGAGAAGCTCCACCATCTTTTCAAGGGTGACTCACAACAATGGGCGTTTGGGATTGCAGTCAGGGCTCGGTGCCGGAGGTTTTCCGGCCCAAAGCGTGCGTCCTTTTTTTCGCGGCCCGGGGGTCCTTGGGTTCGGCCCAAAGCGTCGCCACTCCACCTGCCCGGCGGTTCGGAGCCTCCAGAAGCCACGCCGCCGGTGCTCCGCGATTTGGGCCGATGGATCGATCAGCCTGCGACCCTTCCGGGCACGGTGGAACTGGCCAGCCCGGGTGTCCCTGGACTCTCTGAGCACCGGAAAATGCACGGACACCGCAGGGTGAAGATCGAGGTGGCATAGAAGCAGTTTTTGAAGTGCCCAATAACTGGGTCTTGGACACCTCATCTAGAGCCGGGAAACCTCATACGATAAACAAAACAAGGTCAGGCACCGGTTTTTCTCTGCAAGTCAGCTAGAATTGGAACCGTAGGAACCATGCCCAGTGCAGCCAAACATTTTCACCACCTGATTCCGAATATGTCATTGACCTTCCCCAGGTGTAGGGTATATAAAAGGTGGGTGAATTCGGATCTTGCGCTAGTCGCATGCGTTTCGCCTTGCTGGCTCCGCCCGCAAGCCTGGCAGGCACCAAAATTATGGAATCAAGCCAGCACACTTGTGTTTATTTCAGTGTCTTGGATATGTTGCTCGAAAGGCCGATCCCATATGTGTTGGGCTTTAGGTTTGTCAGTCCCTGGGATCCAGTCGTACCAAACCTCAGGTATGGTGATGTGTTCGACACTGTTGTGTATAGGTGCCAGGAGGGTCCAGTCGTACCTTCTAAGAAGGTACTTGGATCCCTAGGAGTAGTTCACTGAGGTTCTCTAGTGTTCATCTTGTGGGTCTTGTGAGGTTGCACTCAGTACCATGATGCTCTGCGGAAAACAGCTAGGCTTGGGTCAGCCTAGGCACCACCATGGAATCAGGAACACTTTCTGCACAAAAATATCAACCAACGCCTGCGGTTTGAACCACTTACGTTGGTTAATATAATGCAAACATGTAATAAAACCTCTTCACATGTTTTTTTTCATTGATCAACATTCTACATATTACTCTATCCCGATATTCCACAGCCGGGATGCAAATTTGACTGCTCCTCAGAACGTTGGCCGTGTTTTTAGATTTTAGCAATTAACATATCGCCTTAGACCCGAACCAATGGTCAGGGTTTTTGCTCGGGTGCCGGATGCGTCCTGCGTTTCGGTGTTTTTGCGTCCTGCGTTTCGGTGTGGATACTCCAGAAGTGTCGAGGTATCCGGATGTTTGTATTCACCAAGCTTGTTCTCTTATAGTGGGACTGCCCTTGTGGTTTCTTTTGCGTGGATGGTGTCCAGCTCCCCGATTTCCAGCAAGAGCTTGAGATCGATTCCAGCTGCCATCGTCATGGGACACGACATGACCAGGTCAACATCAGTGAGTCCGTTCCCAGTAGCATCTCCTCTGCCGGTGTCTCCCATGTCCCCAAGTCCCGACGTGCTGGTCCCGGCGAAAATCGTGTGGTCCTTCAATCGCTGTGGCTGCAAAAACAGCATCGACACCCCAGAAAGCACCATTAGACTAGGTCAAGAACATCCCATTAGAGGCAACACCTGACATATTTGATGGCTTACTTGAAGAGATACCAATCTGGCTCTTCCAAGCGAAATTCGGATACTACCAAGTACTGTATCTCTAATTGATACAGGGGAACCCCCTGACGCCTGAACATTGGGTCTTTGGAGTATGGACGGGACACCTGCACTCCCAGGCTGGCCATTTTGAACACCTTAGAAATGCAACTCAAGGGCCTGTCGGTGCATTCGGACTCCGGGACGCACGGATGTGGCGGATGTGGGGAGCGATCGTGGAATGGGGGCCTAACGTGAATGGCAGGTTGGAATGGGGGAATTGGCTCAACTTATTGATGCCAAGAATTGGCTGAATGGTCTCTATATGCTGAATGGTCTCTATATCTCAAAGGTGGGCCAGCTTCACCTGGGGAGTGCCCAGAAAGGAAGGCAGGCAGACTCATTCACAAGAGCACGTCGGGCGAGGGATGAGATGAACATTTGATAGTATCAGTATGATGTAAAAAAGTATACTGTATTTTGTCCCAATTGATATGAGTTGGTGTTTTGTCCCAGACTTCACCAGAATCTTGGATCGAATCCGGACAGTTTGGTGTTTGTCTCTTCAGACGCCCAGGCGTCCTCTGGGTGAACTTGTCGAAGTCTCAGCACTGAAACTTGTGGGGGGCTGGACTTCTAGGACTTCGAAAGATTCCTCTCACCAAAACAGCAACAACTGTCGATTTGAGACGCGCCTGAGGAGGTGGCATGGTCCGTGGCGGCTTGGCGTCGAGCGATCGACTGGATGAACCAACGTGGTGGAGCCAGTTTACGTGGGATGGCTTGTTTGCCCGAAAGAAAAGATGTCATGTCTGGGTTCGATCGGAACATATTCAGAATATTTACCTCTTTCGGGTGGTTCAAACAGTGTTTTTGGCAGTTCCGGGAGTTGTCTGGGATTTGTTGGGATCTCTATAGAAGCCTTTTTTGGGTAAACCGTTCGATCAGTCTCAGAACCTTTGTCTTGAGAGCTATGGGGATCGGACCTGGGCCGAAACTTCTCATCCGTTGGACCATCCGTTGGACTGGATGATTTACTTAACATTGACCCTCCTGTCGGGGTGTCTATTTAAAGCCCCGAAAAGCTGTGATTCGGGATGTCCATGAACCATTTCGACTGGGGGTCCTGGTAACAACTTACTCCAAACATCGTTGAAATCATCCATGGCCGCTTCGGAACGGCGAATCTTCCAGATCCGGATGTTCCTGATCGGCATGCATGCCTTTTTTTCCGCGCATTCCAAGACCTCAAACACAACCTCATCCAAACCATCCTTCTTTGATTTGCTGGGAAAGCTGTGAACCTTTGCCTGTCGCGTCACACTGACTCAACACGTCGTGCAGCACCGATGTTCTTCGGCTCATCGACTTGGCCGATCGATGTATCGATCTACTCGGCTCCTGGAGTCGACCCGTTCGTGTCTCGGAACATGGGGGGACGACGTCGTAGCTGTTTGTCTTGTTCAGGTCAGACGTCCCATGTTCTTTACGGTACTGGGTCAGTCGGGTCCAGGTAGTTATACAAAAATTGGACACCCAGTCTCAAATATAGAAACAATTTGTTGTTCCATTATGGCAATTGACATTCTTTACAGACAGGAAATTGATGTTTGGGGAAGGATCCATTTAAAATTGAATTTCCCACGAAGATATGACCACCTTGACCCCTTGGACGCAGGCATAAACATCCAGTGACACGGTGACAGGTCACATCCAGTGCGCATAGGCTCAGCACCTGTGGCCTTTCCCAGGGTCCCAAAACAGCAGGCCAATCGAAAGGTCCTGGGAGGTCAATCTGATGGAGTTTCTGGCCCCAATCCTTCCAAGACCCTTGAAAACTCGTGGACCTGGCTGGCGTTCGAACGTCCAAAGTCCTTAGTAGCCTTAAAACTAAAACAATGCTTCTTCAGGATTCTGTGTCCCAAAAAGTCAACTGTTGGACCGATCGAATTCGCACCGAGATCTCCAAGCGAATGGGGGAAAACCGAGGTCTGGACCTATTTCGTGACCTCCTCCTTCCTTCGTGGCCTGGTCTACGTCGATAGCGATCGAGGCCGCCACTTCTCGGATCGTGGTCGGCGCGGGGCGCTTTGCATCGGTTCGTGGCCAAGAAGGGAGCCATGCAGCCGACCTGGAGAGGTTGAGCAAGCAAAAAAGCCTATCCCCAAAAAACGTGCCACTGATAGGGTACCAGTCCAGGTCTCTCAACCCCTCTTGGACTGTATGACGAACTCCTGCACCGAAATCCGCCCCACAAGGGTCAAACCAGGGCTTCAAACGGAGGTGACGAGCAGGATTACCGTCATTCCGAATCATTCCACTCTGTTTACTCTCAGAATCCAGGCTCCTTCAGTAACACATAGCGTTTGGAGTTTTGAGGGTCCGTTTTCCCCAGGTGTCGGGCCCAAGCCACGGATTCTTAGGGTATATATTCCTTTAAAATGATCTTTGTTTTGCGCGGTGGCGATGGTGGTCCCAATGCTAAAAGAGCGAGCTTGAGGGTAGGGTCCCATGTGCAGGAGAGTGGTGCAGGAGAGTGGTGCCATCAACCGAACCTGGACTTGCTACACTGTTTTACTTACTCCGGGTCGGCGGTTTATTGGACATCCATCGAACGAACGAACGACGCCGCCCGCGCCGGTGTCGATGAATCTGCCCGCAGAATTCATGCTCGGCACGGTGTCGGTGCTGATCAATCAAGCGCAAGAAGCTCCCAACTATGCCACCTGGTCGAATTCAGGATCAGTTCTTCCATTCAAGTGAAAGGAAGGTTGAAGGGCTCTGGTAGACTTAGAAGACACTTTTTGAGGGTAAATATGCTTTGAAGATTTAGGAGATCAAGTCGGAGCCTACCAGCAGTGTTCCCGGACTGCCAGAGGTGGCGAGCGGTTGGGAAAGACAATGTTCCTCAGGTTTACCCGCTATAGGTGGTGGTCGGAAAACTATTCAAACAACACGGGGTCTTGCCCCACCTCAAGCTCTTAAAGTCGATTTTGGGAAGGTGAATCTCGTGTGAATGAGGGGGGCCCACTGAAACACTAAAACAATCGAAGGTCGAAGTGCTCGTGGGTGGGGGTAGGGGTGTTACCCAACTCCCACTATCAAGATCTGTCAAGGGCCTAAAGAGAGTTACCTAATGATAATGAGTAAGAACAGCTCGAAGAAATCCTAAAAGAGTGCTCCAAAGTGCCACACATATCCCCTTTTCCATCAGGCCTACCTCCTCAACAAACATGCACCCCACTGACCCCACGCTTCAAGAAGCTTAATGTATATGGGTGTCCAGTCCAAAGTACCGGTTTCCTGTCGGGAGCCCAAGAAGTCCAAAGAGGGTTCATCTGACTGAGGTTTCAAGCCTCATCAAGAACATGCATCTTGGAGATGGACTAGACTGCGGGGGGTTGGACTCGGGACGCTCAACTGCCGGACTGCATTCCTCACACACCCGGACCCGCTCCCAACAGGCAGCAAGAAAGCAGACGTTCACAGCTGGAAGGCCCAGGCACACCCCGGTCCTCCACCTGGACCCGTTTTCGTGCTTTGCGCGGCCGAACTGTCCAGTTTGGAGCAGATTTGGTTTGGACCTAGCTGCAGGATGCTGCAGGGATATTTATATATGTGTTTTTTTTTAAAGGTTTAGGATTTTTGAGACTCCTTACACCCACTTGTTTCACCTATACGATATACGCATAGAAAGACACTCTTTTTGTGGGGGATCAGACACAAATACGGCGTTCTGGGGCACGTCTTCTTTTTCCTCCAGATGAAAAACGTGTCCCACCAGTTGTCAATCCCTTCAAGAAGATACAGGACCTTCATCGAGATCGGGAGTAGGACTTGACCGCCCTGACGGCTTGTCAGTGTAGCAGCTTTGCAAACGGAATGAAGCCTGGAACCTGAAAACAAGTCTACTAAGAGCTGAAGCTGAGTTACCTATTGAGCCTATTGAGAGTGCATGGGGTGAATCTGGGCATACTCGGAAAACATACACATGCTATATACAAGGACTTCAAGGGACACAGGTCGTGAGGTTGGCAATTTGTTTCCCAAGATATCATTCAGGACAAAGGTATGCACATCGTCACAACCATCCGGATGGTCCTTGTCAACGACCCGCATGGCCCCTAGGAAGATGGTCTTCAAGGGAGATGCGGAACAGAATGAGGAGCGGGGAAGCACATGGATTACCCTGGCCCATTCGCCCTCCGGTAAATACTATTTAAACAACAGAAGGGTGCTCCTAGGGAGAGTAATTGTTCACATGTGACAAGTTTATTTTTTTAAAATATCCCTACCAACACCCGCTCTCTTAAGCAAGGGGTCCACCTGGTTTTGGAGTCCAAAAGCCTTCAAACCTGCATGGTTGTTCGCGAAGCATCAAACCAACCATGGGCGACCCGGACTCCTGGCGAAGAGCGAGGATGACTCCGTTTGTAGTCTTTATAATCTATTAATATACATCTATATACCTGGAAAGCCAGGCCCATCCAGAAACAAAGGGTTGTTGGAATCTGGCAATTACTGTAAGATCCTTTGCATTACAAGTGGTTGGGACTGCGGAAAACATCCACGAGACAGGTTTCCAGATTAGAATAACATCTGGATCTGTTCACCGGTGGTCCAACATTCCTGCTGAGTGTATTGACTGAACTAATGCTTTCGCTTGCCCACCTCAGATGGAAAAACAGATTCAAATCTAGTCTGATCACCTTCACTTCGGGGTCACCTGGCTGGTTTCGCCCCAGCCCACTGCAATCCGGGACCTCCAGGTCCAGGACACCCCGGGCTGAAGCTTCAAATCTAGTCTGATCACCGCACCTGCTGAGTTGGCTTCCAATCTCCTCCCTTTTTTGATCCGACCCGGTGAGCTCCCCCAGCGCCCGCTGGCGGAGCTCGTCAGCGGTCCGAAGATCGGCGGTCAAGGTTCCCACCCCGTGAAGAAATGGTGCCGACCGGAGTTTTGTGAAGAAATGGTGGATGTTCCTTTCTACTCCATGGGATTGGTGTTTTTTGTATTCAATATGTTTTATTCTTTTTCCAGGTGCCTGGACAGCAAATCCTAGATAGTGATCCAAATATTTGGGGGGCAGCAGCAGGTGGATCAGGACAAAAGCACACGTGGCAGTGAGTGGCAGTGATGCGTTGCATGTGGAACCTCTGGATGAAAAATCGGAGCGATGATGTAGGTGGAGTCGGAAAGCAACTGCCACTTTTTTGGGGGCATCACCAGGATGCATGGAGCACGGAGCATTGGAAGCTGGAGCGTGTAGCGTTTGGTCAGGGAGTGTAGCATAGCCGGACGATGGGCATCGCGGGCGTAAGGCCGGGGCATCGCGTCGTGGGCCTCACGAGAGCACTCGCCCTGCAGGAAATCTTTCATGAGGAGACTCAAGAACACACGCACCTGGGCTGGAACCATCCGTGGGGAGTCGAGCGGTGAGACGCACTGTGACCTGGATTCCTAAGATCAAAGGCGACAAGATCGCAGACGAGCCACCGGACTGCCAGATTTGCAACATTTGGCTGGCTTTCAGATGTTTTTAAAGGGTCAATATATACACCGTCCCAGTCCCGACCCTTTTTTTCGGAGCAACCAGGTGCGGAAGGTGGGTTCAGCAACCAGGTGCTTGGGGCGGCTGGGATTCACATTGCGTCCATGGTTTCTTCTGCATTTTTAGGTTCTGGTCATGTGGGGATCTCAATCCCTGTGATGGAATCAGCACCGGTGTAATGGAAAGGTGTTTTGGGGCACCGGACTTGTCACTGCAGTTGTTTGTTGGCACCCAGGTCAGGCTTGGTGCTGCCCAGTCTAAAACGCAGTCCTCCATGGACGATCATTTGAGGTATACATCAGCTAAGAGGGTGGTTGAACCAGATGCTTTAAAGGGTCAATGTAGGTCTATAAATCTATTAAATTTGATTCAACCACCCTTTAAAGGTCTACAGTGTTTAATAGGTTTGTTTTGTAGGTCTATGAGCAAACAAGCATCTATTCGTGGTTTACAGTGTGGGACATGGCTGGACCAAAGGTACTCAGCCACGCCCTCCCCGGTGACCGCCACACTCCAGGCCCCGTAGTGGGGGGGAGACCCCGCAGGCGACGCGTAGGGAGGCCGATTCCAACCACTATGAGTCCCAAGAGTCTTAACACCATACGACCAGATGGTTTTCTACAAAAATTAGACTGCAACACCAGGTCAACCATGTATTAAATGAACAGAAGGCCAGGGATTCCATTTATGGAGTTGGTTGGGGGGCTCTGCTCACCTTTCTTTTCTTGTTTTCGTTCCTCATGTTTCCGTTACAATTTGCGGAGTCCAAACTCACCTCACCGTGACGTGAACGAACACGTCGAAAATGGATCTCCTTGGGAGCGACCGGAATTCCGCGTGTGACCGGAAAAGCCCTTTGGGGATCCGGAGAAGACGACGACCGAGGAAGCGCCGAACCCGAGGCATTTGGCCACCTTACTGGACTTCCTGTCCGAGGTCGTCGAGCAGCTCACCCGCTCGGACGTGGCTTCGGCGCGGCGCTTGATCCGCAGCTTCGCGCAGGTGAGCTGGGAACGGAAGATCCGCCCGCGCTACATGCACCTTGGGAGGAAACGAGCCACTCCGGCCGGTTCCTGTGGGCGTTGGTTGCTGAGGGTGAGGTTGGGTGGGTCAGATTTTAAGCACCTTCCTCAGAAAGGTGGCTGGAGGCCTTGGGGAGAAGAGAAAATGATGAGAGTTCAAACTTCGAAGAGGTCCAAGGACTTGCATTCGGAATTCACATTCTTCAACCTCCGGTTTTTGACGATCATCCAAAGGGTTCTGCAGAGTGATCGATCTTGATATCCCAGTCGGTCACGAGTTTGGGCCTGCAAAAGGTCACTGGCTGGCACTGCAAAGTTTCGATACCAGCACCCGACTTCAGTCCGGTGCTTCCTGGTGACAAGTTCGGTGCCCAGAATTAACCACCACCTGTCGGGTCTCGAAGCAGGGCCAGGAGGGTCCGGTTTTTTGGGTGGTTAAGCCGAGCTTGGCCCTCGCGGAACCCGCCGAGCGCTCTCATCACCGTCCAAGGCTGGTCTTTCAACATGCCATGGCCGTGACCTACCGAGAGCTGGGCTTCCGCTTCACGCCGAAGATGGAGACGTTCCTTGGAGGAGGGAGGAAAGCAAGGAAGAGGAGAGAAAAGAGGACGTCGAGCTGGGTGAAAAGGTCCAAGATGGATCTTTCAACTGTGCAACATGTCTGCCTGGTCCTGTGGTGAAAAGGCACGCATGTTGCATAGTTGGGAGATCCAGGCATTAACACACCAGGTCTGTGTGGGGTCTTGCATGGTGCATTTGCAAAGTATTTCTGGTATGCCCCTGGCTGCATTAGAAGCACGGTGGCCCCCGTGTTTTTTTAAAATGAAACCTGGAGTCCCCAAACCAAAGTTGGATTTGTTCTTTGAAAACAAGGGTCAAAGCGTTTCTGGGTGTTGGCTAAGAAGGAAGCCTCAGTTTGGTAAAACCCACTGGTGCCATGGGTTGTCCCACCATGACTGCCTTCAAAGGTGGTGCTCTCGAGCGTTCTGGTCGCATTCAGGGTGTGGATGTTCTTTATGCACTGCGAGATTCTGGAGGTCTTCGTTCTTGAGCCCTATGCAGCGTGGAAGGGTAGGAAGGGCGGATACGAAGGATTTAGATCCCCACTGGGCTTGCGCTTGAGGGCGTGCAGTTAAGTTGTTCCCCAAGTCGTCCTGTTAAGTTTTTCGATTTCACGTGCTTTTCATCGGCACAACGATGTTTAAACAGAAGCCGTATGAAACCATGAACAGTTCCAATTTGCAAACGGTTAAACACCATTGGCGGGATGTGGCTTGGAACTTTGGCCTTTTGACTTTGCCGGTGTCTTTTTTGCACAAGTAAGTCAAGACAATAGCCAAGACAGCACCACAAAGTTTTGCCTGTGCTCAGCCGGAAGAGGATTCTGTTTAAAGGGTCAAAGCGGCCTTTAAACTCCTGACGTAAAAAGAAGCTGCGCTCAATGAAGGGCAGGTCTGAGTCTCACTTGGAGGGGTCTGTTGTTTCAAAACAGGTTTGAACAACAATGTAGACTCTTGATTGCTAACCCCCCCCATACGAAGAGGTTTTTGATTGACACGTTTTTCAACTTTACTAAGTCTCTTGCTTGGAGAGTTCTGCACTTCCTATATGGAACTTCCTTTTCTTTTTCACAGTCGTGGATATATTTTGGAGGCTTTCCCTTGGGACAATATTACATTCCGTGATTTGTCATTTTGGATGAGGCGGATGTTTGTGTACATTGGCAGAATGCCTGATCATGACCAGGAATGCCTGGTCAGGCTTGTGAAAACAAACGCACAGGTCGGTTCCGGTCGTACCTTACGCTTTCCACGGTCGGGGCGATTCTTCACGACTTTGGAACTCACCAAGGGACGTGTTCAAAGCTTATTTCGTCCTGGGAGATCCCACTAGTGGTCCCACTGCACTCTCCCACATGAGATTGATGAGATCACGAGTGTGTTCGTAGTTTCTTGCTTTTCACTTACCCTTTGTGCAGATAGTTGCTGGTGTGACCAGAGTGTACACAGTGGCACTTCAGACCGCCGAATGGGGCAAAGCCGTGCGGACCTGGAGTGGCTTCGTGGTGACGAAGAGGTTGTTCAATTCAATTGAGAAGGGTTTATGCCCTAGGCTCCAACTACCTCCTGAGAAGGTGGTTAGGGTAAGTCTGTTTTTTTCCCTAGGGGTGAATCAAGAGTCTACATCATTGTTCCAGCAGTTGCTGGAACAGCCCCCAGCAGTAAGTGGATGTTCCAAGCCTTTCCGCCCAATCAAAAGCCGCACGAACCCATTCACCATGTCTCCCACCCATGAAGCTTGATTGAGACCTCATGGTCTTGAGTTTGCATGAGTTTGTTGAATCTGGAGACCAAACCCCAAATGTGGTCTCTCGATCGCAGGCAGGTGCACCTATGTGTTTCTTCAAATCAGATGGTGAAATCCATCCACATCCAACTGCTGGCGTCACATCCCCGACCCAAGGCATCCAATCAGTTGAAAGTGGAAGAGTGGGGCAGCAACCTGGGCCAAGCTACTTGGGCTTCCCAATTTGGCTGGATGTCTTTTGATCCACTGTGCACAGACCGAGTCCGCTTGGGAGTGTGAAGGAATCACATCAGGCCAACGAGCTTCTGAGGAGTTGGGGATCCGTATGGGGAGAGCATCGGGGCAGGGTGTGAATGGGGGCAGGCTCTGAGTTTTGGCATTCATCGAAGTGGTTTGTGATATCAGTGATACATTTGTATATGTTTGCAGATGGCCTTTTGGGGAGGGTTTCCCCCGTTCCGTGTAGAGTTGGGAAAACGAATGGTGTGTATATGAGGTGTGTATGGTAAAGCATCGACCCGCTTGTTTGTGGTGGGTCAGCAGCTGTCCTGAAAACCGCAGGCTGAAGGCAACATGTTTGGATCGGGTATGTGGCTTGCGAAGCTGTTCAGCCTGTTCAGCTGTTTCACCACTTGCGTGACTGTTCACCATCCAAGGTGAATCCTGCCGGTCACCGAGGGGTCACCGATGATCCGACCTGGTTCCCTCCGATGACTGACGGTGACCATCCGACCTGAAAAAAGGACGATCACGATCCAGTCAAAGTAGAATGAACGAGTTGAAAGCTAAGAATGCTAAGAATAACGGCTGTATTTCCCAAAATCATGACGATCCACTCGAGACGGCTCCAGTTTTGGAGGTCTCCAGGTAGGGGGGGGGCGGTGACACTGCTGGGCGTGACGCTGCGCTGGGGATGGGTCAAAGCCTCGAGACCTTCCAGGAGGTCCAGTTGTTGAGCAAGTGGTTCCTTTTCGCTGGCCTCCAACCTGTTTCGCCAACCCCTAGCCTCCCAGCCTACTTTTCGTGCCCAGATCTCCAACCCACAGCCCATCTCCCCGAGCTGAGGAAGATGTGGACTACGATGCCTGGAAGAAGCTGACGCCAAGCTGAAGCCAGACCGACTGGGCAGGGCCAGACTCGGCAGCTCCGTTGGGAGGCCTCCGGCTCCAGGCCGGTGTCACAGCTCGGACCGAGACCCGTGCTGGTAGTACCGCACGGTACCGCACGGTCTCATCAACATGAACATGTTTGGACGACCCAGGGAGATCCACATGTTTTGTACGGTGGAAAACGGGCTGGAACTGGTTTTTGGAACTCTGTCTAGACATACATCCCTTGCTCATGTGAGCGGGTATGAGAGACAATGAGTGAGAACGTGCAAAGTAACAGCTGCGTATATGTACACGGTGAGATGTGTATGATACGAATATGATATACGAATTAAAAGTGAGCAGGATTGATAAGCCACGCTAAAAAGAGAAGTAGGAATTATTCGATGTAATGTGGTATGAATTAGACGAAGGCAGACAAGTTGGAGCGGTGTTGGCATTCAACACGTTTCACTGTAACACCATCATGGTGGTAATATCACGGCTAGCACGCAAGTAGCATTGGACTTCGTCCTGTAGTCCAACTCGTTGTCGAAATGGCAACTCTTCAAGATTTGATGGTGGTAGGGGCGATTAGTATGGTATGAAGAGTTACTATCAAGATCTTGCATTTACTGATGCAGGACTTCCATTGTCTTATGAGATAAGGGGAAACATGGTCTGCAGGCCATTCCTGAGGTATGTTTGGAACCAAAACCCAATGGCAAGCTACGGCACAAGTGTTTTGCAATAATGAGGAATAAGTTTGGTACTTGGACTGGGTTTGTAGAGTTTGCACAACTACAGGTACAATCATGGACTTGTTGAGATGTCGCATGGCTCTGTACGGCCAATTTCTGGCATTCTTAGGCTATTGAGAGTGAAGGCGATAATAAGCTCGACTCATGCCGTCGTCTACAGAGGGGACGGTGCCTATGAGGTGGCCAGGTCATGCTGGCCAGGTCACCTCTGGTGGCCAGGTTGTTGACCTATTTATTATATATAAATAGTACATATATCGACGTGTGCTTCGCCTAAAAGACACGGATGTGCCCTGGGCCCTTTCTTGTTGCGTTGTAGTTGACTTCCAGATCGCGGCATATAGACTCCTATGGCGCCGTCGAGTTCAGAAAGACTGCAGTGTGCAGCCTTTTTGGGGCAAGGCTTGGCAGATCAGAAAGCTACGTCTGGGTGGTCTGGCCAAGCGGATCGCATCGGGAATCGCATCGTGCGCACGGGGAATCAGAGCTCCAACACCTGGGAGACGGCAGATGACACAGTCAGCTGCATGTCGTAGAGGTTCAGAAGGAGGAAGAGACGAAGAAGAAGAGAAGGTTTCCAGAACTTTGGGCATTGCTGCTGGTGAAGTGGATTCAGGAATTCTGTGCTACGGCCCTTTCCAGAATTCACTTAAACTATCTTAAACTGATGTCGAAACATTGGAGCCAATGCTTTCAGATGTAGAAGCCCTAGGGTAGAAGCTATATACTTCGGAATCTTGACCCGAACCATCACGAACCACTGGACTGGGCGAGGTTTGCTTCCAGGTCTCATAGGTGCAAGGAGGGTCGAGGAGCCGAGGCTTCAGGCAGCCACTCCATGGAGAAGAGGCCTACATGTCCCCCTCTGAAGCCAAACCAAATATGCCATGTACCAGCACCACCCAGTTGGGTGGTTATTGGACGGAAAATACAGTACATCTTCAGGGAACCCTATAAACCACCCGAACTGGATGGTGCCGGTATGAAGTTTTTGGGTACCCCAAGATGAGAACAGGAACCTCTGAACTCCGCTGTCCGCTCAGGATGGTGCTGGCACAAGTCGTCGCCGGGCTGAGTCGGCCCAGGGGGGCTGGAGGGACTCACCCAGACCATCCATGGGACTGACACATTTGCCTAGATTGGGGTGGTCCCAGGGGGGTCAGTGGGGTATTCCAGTCCCATGGATGGTCTGGGTTATAAGGGAGACATTCGGTCCTGAATCCGGACTGGAGGGGAACCCCTCACGGGTTTCTCACCCATCGCGATCGGTTTGTTGGACAGGGAAAGGGCTGTGCTTCATGGAGCAATCGGAAGCATCTGGGTCAGACACCTGAGAGCACACAGACTTAGCCGACCTATCGTGTTGAAGATCTCTTGCACTCCACGTAGTTCACCCTCAAGTTCATGGGATGTTTGGAATTCGGGGACATAGCATTTAAATCAGACTAGAAAGGTCTGAATTTTGCAAAGACAGCCACCTGCCTGGTCCTGCCTATAGTCATTTTCTTCTTCCAACATGGATTTCCTGGAACCCCAACCACTGGGCCTCTAGACCACACGAGCGACGCGACTCGAACCGGACCCCATCGGTGTCTTCGGCGCCGTTGGCGCCGCGCCGAGGACGAGCGCTTTCACACGCCCGGATGGGAGCGCTTGCACGTGGAGTGTCGGAAGCCAGCGGTGCCCTGGGCGAGCGAGGTCCATTCACAGCCCGCGGCGAGGGACACGGTGAGTGGGAGGGTGATGTCGGGATGGGTTTGAGTCTCATCCAGTGGATGTGACAAGAGCACCCCTATCCTCCAAGTTCGGCACCCTGGCATGGAACTGGTAGATGTTTCGTCTCTTTCACTTGGTGGAGTTGACTGGCCTGGCAAGCGAAGTGCGTTCCCATTCGATGATTAGTCAACCGAGTAGACCCCAGTAGATCCAGTGCCACTTGGACCCTTGGACCCTCCGGCCACTCAGAGGGCCTTGCATGGGGGGGAAGCGTCTTCTCAATGAGAGACGAAACACCGCTGAGCTCATCCGAGGGAAGGAAGATCACCCTCCGTGTGAAACCACGTAGTCACTCTCCACGTGACCTGGGGAGATTCATAGGCATCCATCACAAGGACCATGCAAAGGAAGACCCTAGGCTTCCAACCACCATTAATCTAATAGGCTTGACCGAGCCAAGGATTTTACACTACAAAACCAGGTCTGTCCCATTGTTTTAATATGTTTTAATGGTCTTTGTCGGAGATCCAACTAGAAGTTCCATAGAGTTGGGTAAATCTTGGACCGTGTTGGGGTGGATCTTTTGGACACCCCCGACACCCCGTTTGGAACCTGTCGGACCCAGCGTCCTTGGAACTGCGACCGAATCCTTGATCGATGTGCCGCACTCCTTGTTCCTCATGAAAGATGAGACGAGCTACCTAGACAATCCTTGAATCCTCCAGCTTCATAGGAGTCTGGGCCATCAAGACTTTCCATTTTGGTTCGGGTCCAGATTCTTATATAGGGTAGAAAGACTTGAAGCTTCCAACTTCCATACCATTACGACTCGGTGCATTTTTTTAAATGGCGGCTGTCCTCATCGGACAGTTGTTAAGTCGCTCTCCCTTCCTCGGGCTGTTGAACACCTAAAAATCGTCCACTATAAAAGGTTAGACGTTCACAGGCAAGCAGTTCCATGGAGAAACGGATGCCCAACGTGAAAGATGGTGCCCGAACATGATCCACTCACCTTCTGCAGATGTCTGCAGGGTCCCGAATCCACCCTCTTCCTCGCAGCTGCTGGACCTGAAGTCCACTCAACTTGTGATACTCACCAGCACCCTCCAACAGCAGGTGGTTTTTGGACACCTCGACTCACCTCTAAGAGGCTATATTTATAGACACCTCTGTCGCGGAGGGTCCTGGCACGAGGTGTGTGACCTAGCTTCCAATTCGCTTCCCCAGCCGCGACCCGATCGGGACCCGAATCGGTTTTCAGGGTCCAGTCGGGCGTGTACGGAGGGTGCGGCAGGGAAGACCGGAAAGAGCTCCCTGGGCAAGAAACTCTCCAAACTACCAAACATGGGACACGACATACATGACTTGAACATACTTGAACCACAAAAACAAATACTAAACATATCCTCCAGGACCCTCTAAGGGGTGCCCAATGGAAGCCTATAGGTAGTGTGGGGTAGTCCATTGGACACCCCTTGGAGGGTCCTGGCTTTAAGACCTCCGTTCTTTTTTCCGAGGTCACAGGTCGACTCCTTTCTCTTGGGCCGGTACCCGCGCGGACAGCGTCGTAACCCGCGCCGTCGTCCCCGTCAGCCTGAGCTCGGCCTCGGTGAGGTGGGAGTCGTGGATGTGATCCATATCCTGGGCGAAGAAGGCGGGCGAAAAAGGCATCGCTTCGTATGCGGCAGCGTACGACACCCTCATGTCGTACCTGTGAAAGAATTTTGGGTAGAAAAAAATGTTTTTTCTCGGACCTGTGATGTTGATTTTAGTTGATTTTGTTCGGGTCAGTGATGTTCCCATGGTCAGGAATACTTTGGGAGGGTCCAGGTTTGTTCGTGTCCATGGTGGCAGAGTTCTTTGAAGCAGTTTCAGGCCCGCTTTGGGATGATTTATTTATGGATTTTCTAGTTGAGGTGCTTTTTGTTGCATGGTCATTATAGTAGAATCATTGGAAGGACCATAATTGTTTGGGCTGTGAGAAACTCTCCCAGCTGTATTGTTGGTTCTCTAAGAAGAACAAGTAAAACCTGGAGAACACCTGGGAGACATCTAAACAGTTTGGAGGTGTTTCAGTGGAGACGTTCTCACATGCCTTCACCTTAGTGAGCTTAGTAGGACCCCCAAACGATGGAACAGGTATGGGGGGTCAACACTGGGGGGACTAAACAGGACTAAACAGCACGGACGGACCTAGAGTTGGGTCAACTTACTAGAGTTGGGTCTCGAGGTTTTTGGACCTACAGCCACCGTCCCTGCCATGCCACCAACGGTTCGACCTGTTGTTACGCCCTTCCCAACCCTTGAACGAAGAGACCTGGCAGGAACTCGGATGCTGTGGAGGACAGAAATGGATTTCCCATATTTTTGGTAACCGCTCCCCTAAGGGTTCATGCGTTTATGCATGTTTTTTGGCTTTTGTGGCTTTGATCTCACACTTCCACTATTGACGTCACTTGTATTTACTGCAAACATACTAGGATGCTACGCCATGGATGGGGTGGGGTGGGGTGGGGTTGGGGTTTTATTGACGGCACCTGTGCTTGCAAACATACTTGATGCTACGCCATGGATGGGGAGGTTGCGAAAGTATCCTTGGCCGAAGAGGTGTAGTAATTCTGGTGTTTCTAGGTCCTTAAGTGTCAGGAGTTGTCGGTTTCTGGTGGCTTAATTTAATAGTTTCCCGTGCGTCGCCAAGGATGGCTCACCTCCGCTTCAGCTTGTGCACGCGCAATTCGAAACGTCAAACAAGTCCTTGGAAACTTTTACACCGGAAATACTGTGTATCCGAATGTGTTCGAAACTGTAGCGACGCATCTAAAACAAAAATTCCGAGCAACCTCCTGATCAGAACAATGAAGTAATGGCTAGTTCGTGAGTGGGTTTGGATTTTGCAGCCACTGCCAGAGCTGTGTGGTATTTGCAGCAGCGCTGGGAACCTGTATAAGTGTGTGATCAACTCCACCCTAGCAAATACAACATCCATTTCATTATATACAGAGTTCTTGGATTTTGTTTTAAGTAATTTCCCAAAGTTGTGGGATGAGGGTCGATCATAATATTGTGCAACATCCCTCAGAGAAAAGTTGTAAGATTGATTCACTCGCCAGGGGGTGGTCTCATTATACAAAGGGGGTTGGAAGCAGAGTATGGAAACAACTCAAGGGATGGAGAGAGCTTGACTATATACCTGTTGAATCCTGTTGATATTAATTGCATGTTGACTGAATCTGATCTTGCTGCGTGTTGTTCTGGCTCTACGAAAAGATATTATGACAAAACAACAAGCGAATCCTGTGAGTTTCGATTCCGAAGGGATGGGGATTGGCGAAGACAGACAGAGAGAGAAGGAGATAGAGAGAGAGAGAGAAAAGGCACAAAATAGGTCCAGGGGTATGTAAGTAGTGAACCACCCTGTCGAGTCAGAGTCACTTTCCAACGCCATTTTCATGACTCAAACTGGGCAGATTAATTAGGTCAAGGCCCTCCTGATTGTTTAACTCAACTTTTGGTTGGTTGTTAATTGTTTCTTGTTAACACTCAACCCGGACCCCCTCTGATTAAGTAGGATCCAATAGTTGAAGTACCCGAATTCCAAAATAGATTATTCCGGGGTAGGGGGTAATTCACCCCCCAAAGGTAGGTGCTTGCATGTGTTTGTAACCGTTTTCTCATGTGCCCGCGCGGTCAGGGATACAACACTCTGCATGGACGTTTGAGAAGGTGGTGCAACATTATTGCGCCTGGTCTTCTGATGGTGCTCAGTTTTGACATTGGTGACCCAACTCAACAAATGTGACACTTGAAGAGGCTGGCCTTAGACAGAAAGGGATACTACATGATGCTACCCTAGGTCTATCTAGGTAGACATGTGTGTGCTTGTTCGAACTGGACGCTCATCAGAGAATCAACGATCATTAGCTTCTTAGGTGCTTGTTCACCCAAATTGAAGGAACGCCAAAACCTTTTATTTTCAACCCAGCATGCCTTCAACGACCCCCCAAAAAGTGGTTGGTGCCATGTCTGGGGGCTTAAACGCCTATCCGCAGTGGAGAGCAGTGGAGCTGGTGCCATGTAAAGGTCGTGGAAACCTTTCAGATCAGTGTCGTCCCTCGACCAATGACACCAGGTTCACTCCATCCATTGGCAGGGATTGAGATATATCCATTCAAATAGCAGGCTGTTTTCTTGCCCGGCTTTGGCCGATCTCGACCGATCCTCGGTCTCCAGTCAGACCGCTGAAGGCCAACCCAGTCGCGCCGTGCGAAGTGCACCGCTCGACTCCTCCCGAACCATCCCGAACCCAACCACCCCAGACGACCGATCCCGAGGCGAACGGAGTCACATCGGGTCGTCTGTTCGCGCGACGTGGGTGGGCTCAAGTACCTTAGACATGACCCTGACAGTGAAAAATCGAGGGTTTCACATACCCAAACCAGGTTTTGTTGCTTAGGGAAAACCAAGGTTTTGATGGGCCATGTGGGGCCCCGGGTAACAGGTATACGGATGTAATTATCCACCAAGGTGAATGGTCTGGTTGGGAAGGGACTCCTTGGGATGTGAAACATGTAAGTGTAGGGACTCACACTTTGATGCCATTTAGGCTCAAGTGTGGGTCAGGGTGTTTCCTTTTTTCCCATGCTGGCGCGCTGCGGTGGAAGCGCCAGACTCGGGGAGTGGATCCCCTGACCCGGAGCGTGGAGAGTAGATTGAACTCTCTCTCCGCGCGGTCCGCATCTATTGCGGCCCAGTGGCCTTTGGTGGCGCGAGCTCGGCGTACAGTGGCCTTTGGTGGCGACGGTGCTCACAGAGCGTGTGATCGGTGCGAGGCTGCCACTATTTCGTGGGACGCTGGATACGATGTCTTCATCCTCTCGAATGGGCTCCCCCGCCTTCCATGCGACAGCGGACACGGTCCCCATTGCCGCGATCGCGCACAGCCTCGGCGTCACAGGGCCATGTTTGAGCTCCTCCTGGCGGATTTCTTAGACCTCCAGGAGTTGGGAGTTGATCGGACCATGCTGCGCGATCCGGTGAGGCGCCAGCTCCTCAAGGAGACCGTTATGCCGGCGGCTAGTCGTCTTTCGTCGTCCCGCGCAGGGGCACTGGTGGCCGCCCTTCGTCGCTGGAGGACATACGCCTTGGAGAACCAGTTCGAGGTCCGTACCCCCTCCCCGCTCCAAATGAGTGCCTTCTTTCGGGCGGTGGCTTCCGGGGGGCCTACAGCCGCTGCCAGCATGTTCCATGCTTTGAAGTGGTATCGTCAGCACTTTGCCCTTCATTTCGAGCTGGACCACTGGTTGTTGAAGCCTTACAAGTTGCTCCCACTGGACCATACAGTTCAAAAGAAACAGGAGTTGCAGCCTTGGGAGATGGTGAACCTGCTTCTTCGCCTTCGCCAAGCTCAGGGCACCCACTTGTTGCTGCTTGCTATGTTTACTTGGGCTGCCACCTCGTGTATTCGCTTCGAACACTTTCAATGCTCCCATTTTGTGGGTGAAGCTGACACCTTCCTGCTCTCAAGGCAAAACCAGGCCGCAGGGGGGGCGCCCCCCCTATGAGTGGGCTATGCCGGACCTGATCTTTCGTGGTGCAAGCCTTTTGAAGATCGTGAAAGACTTTGTTCTTCACGAGTTGCTCTGGAGCGCAGTACCTTTGGCCGGCCGTGGAGCTGCGAGCAGACGAGTTGTGGCAAGTGACGGAGTCGACACCCTGGGTGGTGTCCAAGAAGATGTCCAGAGGGCGATTTTTGGAACTGCTGCGGGGCACCTTGATGGACCTGGGGGTGGACCCTGTTCAGGCACAGGTCGCTGGCTTCAACCGGTTGCGCAGGTTCCTCCCCACTTTGGGGCAAGTCTGTCGCTTGAGTCCTACTGACCAGCAATCCTTGGGCAGCTGGGTGGAGGTGCCTAGCGCAGGCGGCCCTACCCCACAACGCAAGAGCCGGGCGACCTGGACCACGGGCGTCCACTACGCTGGGCAGAAGGTGGTGCACAGTGGCCTGCTCAAGGCTGCGTTGGTCCAAGGGTTCTTGCACCTTTGGCAACAGAAGCAGCCGTCGTTGGCCCTGACCCACGATGGGCTACTCCCGCGTGATTCCTGGTCCTGGCAGGACCTGGCTGGGGCCAATGAGGCCTTTCCCCATGTGCGGGACTCCCTGGACCTCCTGGCGATTGACTTGACCCCGCAGCACATGGCTGAGCCTGTGCTTCCGGTCACCACGGAGGTCAAGGAAGAGGCCTCGATGGACAACCTTTCCCCGTCAGAAGAAGAAGACATTGTTGTGTCGGTTTCATCGTCTACCACCTCTTCCTCAGCTTCTGATGAGTCAGCGGCTGCTTCTGATTTGGAAGGTATTGACGCACCGGCGGACCTTGGCTGTGAAGGGAAGTGGAGAGTCCATTTAGTCCAGGGCGAACTCGCTGGCCGCCTCCTCCCTTTCTGCCGGGACGCAACCTATGCACAGGATCCCAAGCAGGTGGGCGAGGGCTTTAACACCCTGCCCAAGAGCGCCCTGTGTCAGCGATGCCTGGCCAGGATGCCTCGCGCTTTGTACAAGGCCTTGGCAGACACTTGCGGGTGGCTAAGTTGACAGCCTACCTGCTGGCTATGAAAATGATCCCGTTTTTTGCTGCCGGCCTATCGGTTCCCGCTACTCGACCGTCATGTTTATTGGAGTGTTGGCGCTGTTTGGGTTTTCTCTTTAGCAGTCTTGGTTCCTAGTTTGTGCACTGGTGTAGTGTGTGGTGGCGCTTGAAGCTGGGCCTTCTCATCACCCGCCACTCCCGTGTCTTTGGTTCAAGACTCGTTTTTTCCCGCGCGCGGTGCTTCGTGGTGTCAGCCATGACACATGCTGCCCACGTCGACGGGTATGTAGATGATCGAGGCCTCTCCACGTGTTTCACGGTGGCCAATGTTTTGCCGGAATGGTCCAAGGAACTGGTCACCAAGTACCGCTGGGAGACACTTGAGGACTTCGTGCATTGGTTTGATGACGCCCAGCTGGAGGACTCTCTGTCGCAGGTCCTCCTGGGTACCACTTTGAAAGATAACCGCTTGGCCCGTTCTCGCATCAAGGCGGCGCGGGCGGCGGGAGTTGCAGCCATTAAGACCGCTACTTCTGTCTCCAAGCCTCTGGAAGCCCCTGATGAGGTCCTGCCTGACAGTATACCATGCAGCAGATGTGCAGGGACTTCGTGGCCAAGTACAACCTGAGCCTGGACCCCAGGTTGGAACCTTCTGATGCTCTGCGCCGCCGTTGCTACCGCGAGTTTCGGAAGCGCACCATGACTGTGATCCCCGCCAGCAAGATTCGCTCTCTATTGCATCAGTCCACGCCCAGGGGGCAGGCGGCCGCCAGACTGGGTTCTGGCGTGCAATTGGAAGGAAGGTCGAGGGGTGCAGACTGTGGTTGAATACTATTGGGCTTTGAGGACCCTCGCTTTGGTTTGGGGCTGGGCAGGCCTCTTCAAGCAACAGGACTTTGACAAGCAGGAACGCACCTTTGTGCCTTTGGACGTTGCCATCAACTACGCTGACCATGCCTTGCAATCCACTATGGAATACGGCCAGGGCAGCCTGCTGTGGCTTGAGAAGTGGACACTCTCACCAGGTCGGCCATGGCCTCTTTGATCCGCCGAGGTTACACAGGTGGCAGTGCGCTCCTTGAAGCCCTGCGCCAGGCCCATTTGGAATGGCATTCTCCGGCGGTGCAGCATTCTCTCCCAGAGGCAGCCACCCTCAAGCGGAAGTCCACAGTGATCGACGCCCCGGAGGAGAAGGCGCCGCAGACACGCCGTCAGATCAAGACTGACAGGTGGACCACTGTGAGCCAGATCAAGGGCGGGTACCGGTTTTGCAAACCTTGGAATGATGGCCGCGGTTGCACCCAGGCCCAGTGCCCGAACATTCACAAATGCGACGTCAAGCTGCCCACGGGCAAGCCATGTCAAGCTGGCCACATTCGCCTTCAACACCAGGAATAGGGACAGCGCTTTGTGGAGGCCTGGGAGCCCCGGGGGGAGGCGGAGCACACGCTTTCATCACTGGCACTTGCGGTAGCTGGGCATCCCGCCGAGTCTCACCGGAGCGTCGTCATTGAATATGAGGCGGCTCCCCTTCCGCATGTCGAAGCTTTGGCAGGACGCCTGGTGGGCGCCAAGCCTGTGAGCTGGCGTGGCAGAGGGGATTTTCCGCCGTCTCCCTGGGCCAAACCTTTCCGAGGGATAGCTTCGTAACCCTCCTGAGGCATCAGGCCTGGAGATTGGGAATATCCTGGAGAATGTCGCCAGCTACGGATGAGTGCGCCGCAGGCGCCTTGTGTCGGGCGAGGCACTCTCACGAGGGGTGTCAATGCTGAAACATCCCCGCCCGCGTCATGGATGTGGGCCCTCAATGAGGCTGATGTCCCAACGCTCCGCTTTGTTAGGAAAAAGCCGGTGCCTGTGCATGTTTGGTGGAGTGGTCTCCGTGCCCACGGAGTCGGTGCTATGCATCCATTCCCACGAGAGTTTGGCACCCCGCCTCGTGGGCGTGACGCCAGCGCCGGCTCCCCCCAGCGGCATACGAGGAATCCTCCTTGCTCTGGGGGGGTATACTTGGAGGACATTGCACCCTTCGGCACGGTTCCAACTCATGGGGATCCCTCTGGACCTGATTGAACCAGTACGAGGGCCACCAGCACGACATAGTCAGGTCAAGTTTTCTTTGATTGGTAATAGTTTCCATTTCTGATGTCTTTTTGCCCTCATGACCATGTTACCCAGTGTGCTCTCCACCACGCTCCCCTCCCAGCTCTCGGGTCATGATGAGTTGGCTCTTCAGACCGGGCTGTACCACTCGGTCTGGGCACCGGGTCGCCTGCAGCTCATGCTTGGGATGCTTCAGGTAGAGGAGGTGGTATATCGCTTGGGGGGTTGTGTTCCCATATTTGGATGCCGAGTCAGCGGTATGGTCTATGTTTCGTCCACGCCTGAGTTCGTGTGACCTGTCAATCTTGCAGGCCTACCCGGCATGGCGACATCTGTGCCAAGAGCCTTGGCAGGGTGGGGACCGGTTCCTTTTTGGGGACACCAACGCACAAACTTTTTATGCAGGTTTATCAGGCCAGCGCTATGCGAGCTCGTCCGCTAGGGGCCTTGATCACCTGTTGTTTCGGGGGGGTTGGGGAAGGAGGATCATATGGCAGTCTCTGCTGAGCTGCCGACCCCCCCCTTTTTCCACCCCAGGGTTTGGCTTGAACCGGACATGGGTTTAGTTGTTGAGGCGTTATCGGTGTAGCCGAGGTTTCTCCCGAAGTACGCCACCAAATTGCGACATGTCTTGCGCACAGTAGCTACAGCTTTGATACCTTTAGACGAGGCCTTGGTGTCCGAAGCACGGCTGTTTCGCAGGTCGTCCAAAGCAAGAAACCCGCTCTGACAGCTGTCCTGGCCCTCCTCTTTCGGTGGCCCGACCTTTTCCTGGCCCAGCAACTGGTTCGGGGTCTCCCTACTGTGGGTTCTCTGACCCACTTAGGTGTCTTCCGCCCAGTGTGACACAAGGGCACGGCAGACTTGTCTGAGTGGCTGGGTGCCCCGGCAGCTGCAGATGTCCAATGGTTGGTACACAGTAAGCCACAGTTGCATAATGAGCTTACTACCAGATCACTTTGGATGAAATTTCCAAGGGTTTTGGTAGCCCGTTGCAAAGCATGAAGGAGATGGATGGCGTCTTTGAAGAAGGCGGATGGCGTGCAGTAGAACGGCTCTTGATTATCCAGCTAGATGGCAAACCGCGGACTATTGACAACACGCGCAACCGTGGGTACAACGACCATATCACCATGCATGAGACTATCTCCACTGTCAATGTTGACTTTGTGGCAGCCCTGGCTCCCATGGTTGACTCGGCGTTCGCCCGTGACCGTCTGCCACCTTCTAGTTGGTTAAGATCTCCGTCTGGGTACGGATGATCCCAAGATGCATACCGAGGGTTGCCTGTCTGATGAGCACCCCTGTTACTCCAATGTCGCCATTTATGTCCCGGACCTAGGGTGGCGTGTCCCCACCAGGTATGGACTGGCGTATGTTTTGGCGAGTGCTGTGGTCAAATTTAACCGTTTCCTGCAAACTTCAGTGGTACGGTGTTGCTTGCTCGGTCTCGCTGCTGCGTATTTAGATGATGAGCTAGCAGATTCCTTTGGCAAGGACTCTGCGGTCTCACAGGTCGGCCTACGGTTGGTATTCCGGTCATGGGGAGCGCCTCCCCAGCCGGCCAAGTCGTTTGCGCCGGACCGCAGCAGATACTACCTAGGCACTTCCGTATATGTTGGCAACATCGTGAGCGAGGGTTTGATCCGGTTTTTTTAACCAACAAAATTTACATAAATTTACCACTGCTGCCAAGATCTTGCGTAAGCTCTCGGCTGCCCCGGAGACATTGACATTTTCCCCCGACGATGCGGTATCGCTCCGGGGTGACCTCACAATTGGATGGTTTCCGTGTGTGCTGGCTACGCAGGTCGCATTGGGGGCCCCTTGCTGACATTCAAGCAGAAGGATAACTCCCCAGCATTGTCAGTGGTAGACTACTTCACTTTGCGGCTCCTTGCGGCTACTGTGTCGTGCCCCGAGCCACGTCTGGTTGCAGTCTGGGACGCACCATCTCAGCCTTTAATCATTTACTCAGATGTTTCCTTTGAAAATGATACACTCCGGCTGGGCTGGGTGGTCATGTGGGTGGCGTAACTTCCGTTTAGAGTGACTTGCGCGTTTCCCCACAGGATCATCGATAAATGGCAGCCCCGCACTCAGCAGATCTACCCAGGAAAACCTTGGTGTAGGTTGCTAGTGCCGTGGGTTCATGGAGCGTCCTCCTTGATCCAAGGCGGTAGTGCCAAAGTTGATGTACCTACCATGACTCCCTTTTGCAGCGTTTTCGGGTGCGCGTCTGGTTCAAATGGGTGGCTAGCCACTCCAATCCTTTAGACGGCTTCAGTCGAGCCGGTCTTGAGGACGACTGGACACGTCATCAAGATTGGCAGCTCTCTCAGGTGTTTTCCCCCTCGGCTCTGGAGCAGGTAGCCCGCCCGGAGGACCTAACCTCGTTTCTTCCAGTATGGACAGTGGGTGATGGTTAATATTACAGTGGGTTGGATGGCAAGTTCATCAAAGATGACTTACCAAGCTAGTCTGTGTGTTTGATACCACGACTGAATCCCAGTGTTATTTAATAACACTTCTGTCCATACCCTGTGAGCTACTGAGGTCTAGGTACCCAGTTCTGCTGCACCTGCACAGATCGAGTCATGAGGAAAAGAGATGCTGCCTCTCTTAAGTTGAACCTACCTTCATGTTTCTGTATTTATACACTATACTTGTGCCCACTTTCTGATGTACGAACAGGTCGACTCCAGGCAGGTGTTTGTGTTTCGGGAGGCCGTCGTTCCTCTTTTCTCCTAGTCTAGAATCCGTCGAAGAATAGAAGAATGAATGGTTGGTATAGATCAGTTAAGCGACGTGGTATACAATGGTACAAATCCCACCTTAGGGATCCAAGTACCTCCTCAGAAGGTACAACTGGACCCCCCTAGCACCTACATAACAGTCGAACACATCACCGTACCTGAGGTTCGGTACGACTGGATCCCCAGGGTGGTAGGAATCCCAGGGTATAGATCTTCCGATGATCCAAAGAGTTCCTTTTTGATCCGACCGAGCGGAGCAGCCTCACCCGAAGATGGGAGTGGGTCCACCATGGACCCTGGTGGGGTGGACCGCGGGTTGACGGTGAACAGGAAAACCGTTCCTAGGGCTGTTGGGTGTTGACCCACATGTCACACGACTGATGCTCCAATGCTCCCAACGCTCCCAGCGGACCCGAACTTGGAAGATGCAAGTCGGGGTACTGAACTTGGAAGAACCTTGGGGTGCCGAACAGATGCTCCCATCATCCATGATCCACATGTGAGTTGCGGAGGAAGGACGAGGGTTCTGAACCATTCCGAGGACTTGCAACTGCTGGTACCTCTTTTTGGGGACGAACGAATGGAGGCTTCCAAGGTGTTCCCCGTCCGAGGTCAGAACCTGCCGGCCGACGCGGATTCCTTCCTCGAGTAGGTCAGACCCGCTCCGCATCTCGGCACCGAGCGGTGTGTTCCACTGTGCACCAGGGGCCCTCAAAACCATAAGAAATAAAGGTGTTCACATACCTAAAACCAGCGTTTTTGCTAGGGAAAACCAGGTGTTTGATGGTTAGGGAATAACAATCCATGTGCCATATTTGCCGTTCGATCGCGGTACTTGCGCGCGTCTCCACTTGTCTCCGAAAAAGGCTTCGTCAGGGGGTCTGTGGGCGATGCTTTGTTTGGACCTACAGAGGGAGTGGTGTTTTCTGCAGCGGAACTGGAGGTGCAGATGATTAGGGTCTGTCCTATTATCACTGTTGGACAAGGCCTTTACCAGTAATGGGATAGACCGCGACATGACCCCATAAAAATCATTCTTCGCCCAGTTCGACCCTTCGAAAAGAAGAGGACCCTATGGACCATTCTGACTCCATGTATGGACGTATGGACGGTACACCCTGGTAGACTAACATGGACCCTGAAAACCACTGGTTGGGTTGGTAGAGGAAAACCATCTTCCAAGGGGTCATTGTCAGGGTCTATGTTCGTTTTCGGGAGTGTATCCGGTCGGTCGACGTTTTTTTCTGTTCACCGTCAACCGGAGGCCATGACGCAAGGTTATGGATCCCTCCACACTCACGCATACATGGCTGCCCCATCCCTGGGTGGCCTTGGAGAGCTAGAGTCTGCTAGAGATCGACTCGAACATTTTGCAGTCGTCCCAGCTCACATGGGCTTTTGCTGTTTCTTTGTTTTTTTTTTTTGACGAGACCTACAACAACTCCAGTGTCATTCTTACTTGGAGTGACACAGCCGTTGTCACCAACGCGCCAATGGCTTCTCCGAATGGGATCCTCAAATAGCTTGCCGCTGGTAACCAATGATGGGGAAGGGTGCATATATTATCTACTAACTTCGGTTCCAAAACCACCCCTTTGGAATTCCTGTGTCACTCAGTGCTGTATTCCAGAATCACTCAGAAACCATCAAGAATCCATCAAGTGTCAAGTCATTCACCAACTTCCAAGTTCCTACGACCCTGCCCAGTACCTTAGAACATGGCCCATTTTCGGCAGGTACCGTGGGCCCCCCCACTTCTGGCCGTGCGATCGGTGCCAGGTGCGACTCGCACTGAGCAGCCACTGACTCGCGCCACTTGTTTGCGTGACGATGGTGGGGGTGGCAGGGAAAACTGGTGTGGGTGAGTTGCCCTACCAGGATCAGTTGGTTGACCTACCTGGGAGGTCAAGCTGCGTCGACCAGGGCTCCAGGTTTTGAGATATTGTAGATGTGAGGTTGTCTCGTTTTCATGTGAGGGGTGAGTGGGAGATCTGGAGACTGAACCAATGGGAGATCTGATCTGCTCGCAACTTCATTGGTGGTCGCTCCTCCGATCGCAAGTCGCACAGGGGCCGAAAGAGCAACCAGAGTTGATGAAGAATGGTGCTGAAAGCATACCCGTTGCCGGGATAGTGCACTGGTCTTGATCAAGACCCCAGACACTCCATGGCCTGAGTGGGCATGTTAAAACCAGCCCCATCTGCCCCCGCAGCCCGGCAGGTTTTGAGAGGTCGTCCTATAGATCCAGGTACGTCTGATCGTCAGTACATGCAGTCTCGGTTCGTACCTTGGACCGGTGTCCACGAGCGATTTTTGTAGGGTCATGTACCATCATGTACCATTTTCTCCCTATAGGGATCCAAGAACCTTCTCAGAAGGTGATTGAAGACTATTTATGTAGGCTTGGAGGGCCCAAATACCTTCTGAGAAGGTATGTGGATCCCTACAGTAGGGTCTATAGAAGGTATACTCAGATCGATATGACAGTCCCCATGGATTGCTGGGGGCCAAATGATGTTGATGAACAGCGCAGAGCACCGCATGGCGCTTTTCCCTGGAGCCTCCAACTATGGGTGCCAGGGGGGGTCTAGCCATCTTCTGAGGATATGGGACAGGAGCCCTAGGGTTTGTTCCATGTTCGGTCGGGTTTCACAGGTACCCGTTTTGGGCATATACCAATGGATCTGTCGACAGGGACGGCGATGTGTTCGGTCGATCCGGGGGTTGATTGACCCGTCCGAACACTCAGAGGACGAAGCAGATAGGGAGACCACTGATACGCCCATGACGCTGGAGAGACTGAGGGAGAGACTGAGGGAGTGACCATAGTTGTGGTTAAAAACGCGCGTCGGAATCCTAGCTTTCAGAGAGTTTTCCCAACCCTGACAGCATTTTTGTTTTTAACCGAAAAGTCCAGAATTGGGTCCCAGTGGTTCACCAGTTCACTATGACACCAGAGTGGTCCCTTAAAGGCCCCCCTGTCATAGGAGAACGAAGGATAGGAGAGGTTCCTAGTCATTTAACCTGACCAGGTTCCCTGTGACTCCGGGTCCTGGAATGGTTCGGCCTTGGTGCTATGTCCAAGGCCTTTCACCATCGAGATTCCTCGAGTAAGGAGACGATTTCAGCTCAGCGCAGCGAAGTTAAAGCGGGGAGCGGAGCGATATTCTTACACGAGAGGGGGAGGTTGGATGATCCTCCGATTAGAAATTCCGGATCAGCCTTTCCAAAATCTTCAAAAAAGGACCATTCAAAGAGTTCGGTTGACCTAAATGTTGTAAAAACCGTTGTAACAACATTAAGACCATCCAAAGTGGTGGTTGGTATCCCAGCTCTTTGGACGCCCCAAAAAAAGGATCGATTTTTGGTTCCGCAGAATGTGACGTAGCTAGCAGAGGATGGTTCCTTGCTGCCGGGCGCACTTCCATAGACTGTTTTACGGTCCAGACGATGGTATGCCACGGCGTGACCACGGCCATGGTCTGGCCAGCGGTTCTCAACAAGAGAAACGAGGTATATGCTTTACCAAGCGTGTACGGTATACTCAATTGAAATTGAAGCACCTGCAAGCTAACAGAACAAACAGGTGCTGCATGCAATGGAACGTGCATCTATGCCATAAACGTGTTCCTTGCAGTGATCGTCAGATTGGTGGGGCGGTTCTCAACAAAGGGAGACGGATTCGGGTGTTCTTTTCGGGTTAGTCCCATGGCAAAAGGCTCTTTACAGCAACGGGCGCCTTTGTTCACCACGGATGGTCCTGGACCCCAAAAAGGGTACGACTGTACGGCTGCCGATTTTCCAAGGTATGGGTCGACTGCATGGAGGCCGCTATTAGGTTGGAAGCGCTTCTAGGTTGGAGGCCATTGCTATTAAATACCACCCTAAGAATCATTGGACCCTCCTATGGAGGGTTTGGACCCTGCATAGCAGGGGTTGGACCCTCAACACCTTCACCTTTGAGGGTCCTTGATTCTTAGGGCAGATCCTGGTACAGGAACTTTGGTCACCGAACTTCGCTCGCGCTCCGCGACCGGAACCATAGGCCCATTGGTCGCTCGGAGATCGACCTCGAATGGGGCGCTGGCCGCCCAGTGCCTCGAATGGGGCGCTGGTCAACGGTTTGGCCCCAAATTCGGTGCACTGGATTGGGGTCTGAGAAGTGTTTGCAAAGAGAAGAGTGACAGAAACGTGTGGCGAAAGTGGCTATTAAGTGATCAGCAGCTATTCACATGTCTTTTGGGTTTAAATTGTACGACCTCTCTCTCTCTCTCCATTATACTCGCATACGCAAATTGCATGATAGAACAAAGATGTTTAGCTTTCGATTTTTAATTGTATTGTGTTGGTGTGGGTTAAACTTGTGACAGAAGGAACATCCCGGCCAAGAGCGTTTGTCAGTAAATGCACCGAGACGACCAAAATCATGAACCTGGGCAACCCCTCATTCTCAACAGTCTCAGTCGCTCTGCTGCTCCGGGTACCTTCAGCAAGGCTTTTCTCTTGGTGATGATACGGGCAACATGAGTTCATTTCTTGAACGCCAACATCCTGATAGTGAAAATCGATGAAAAGCCAAAGTCCAGAAGACACTTTACTTTAGTATGGCTTGAATACATTTGCTTCGAAGGTGTTTGGCATGGGTTTTGGGGGGTCTAAGTTCTACGTCCGTACTTTCTCGGAAGCTAGGACTGGAGCCCCAATTGATATACGGCCCTTTGTGGGAACTTATTCTCTAAGCCCTAAGAATCCGGGCCCTCAAACACATAGGGTTTTGAGGGTCCGGACAACTGCTATGGAGGGCCTGACCTACCATTGAGACCCAAGGATTCTTCGGGCTCTAAGCAGCATCAATTAATGGCATTGGCTTCGGAATGCCAGACGGGGGGTGTCACCCGAAGCGAAGCTTCTCAACCCGCTGCATCTGGCGCGATCAGCGTGCCACGAAACCATTCAGCAAGGGCTGATGAGCTCAGATCGCTTAACATTTGTTAAGGACGAGCTTATTTAGGCTTCGCATTTCCTTGGTCACAAAGGATGTTATATGCATGCGTGTATTGGAAGTACTCAGTACTCCCTACTTTGGATCAACCATCCAGGACTTTTTGTGGCCTTTGGCCTTTCTTCATGTTTCTTCCATGACAGGAGTCAGTTCGGGTCGAGGTCAGGACGGGTCTATGTCTGGACGACGTGGCTTCCTCGATCTGGTACACCTCGACTCCTCGACCCGTGACGACCGCTCGGACAAGGCATACAAGTACCTATGACCTTAGAGGGGTCAAATGGTCTGAGGTACTTTTGGAGGGTCCAGATCTTCAAACTGTCAATTGTATTGCCTTTTCATCTCGAAAACCAGCCAAGTTCGGCAGACATTTTGGTTGGAAGATCCAGGTATATCATACCTTTTCAATAGATGGGGATTCACCCACAGAGATGGAAAACAATTCCCCAAGCAAGACCAGGAAGTTGCGGTGAGTTCGGGCCTGAAACGGATGGGTGAAACCTGTCTGGACACCAAAGCCGGTTTCACCATGTTTCATCCATCCTTTTCAGGCCTCACCACAACTTTCTGGTTTTCAGGTCAATCCCATCTGCATAATATGTTTTTACTTTCCAAATGGGGGGGGTATTAGTCAAGTAAGCAAATCCACGACTTCCATGTATTTCTGGTTCACAGAACTCTACTCATCAACTGGATCAAAGTATTTGTTCTCTGTGCGAGCGGATGCTCCACCAGTTGATCTGTCCAGCATACTTCGAAGACGTTCCTTTCATTGGTCGTTCCTGCAGTCGACACCGTGAGGCCGTGCCTCGGACAATGGGTACAAGTAGACCAGTTTCATAGGGAGTCATGTACACCCACGACTTCAACTGGGACTCTTGGAGGGTCCAGAGGATCAGAGACGGACATGGATGGGGACATGATTGACATCAATCTCAATGTGGTCAACATCATTTTTGCGGTCTGCTTCCCACAAGACCACTGGCATTGGATTGAGGGAAGAAGCTTTGAAGATCGCCTGTTTGTGTTGTGAAAGAAGACACCTCGCACCAGCGTGGCACATCAGAGTGTATGCGATTGTCACAGTTGCACAGGCAGAGGTGCACACACACATACATGTTCACCTGATGAATCCAAGCGTTCCCGATGGGCACACCAAGAGGGTCTAGGTGGGATCACGGTTCCGGAAGAGTTTGTGACCAAGGGGTCGCTAATCGTTGACGTCATTCCTGACGTGCAGCCGGCAGCCTTGTGCCCGCGCGTTTATTCGAAGGTGCGCTCGCAGGGTGCTGCTGGTGGCATGAATATTTTAAAGTGGTGTCCAGCTCCTTCCAAGGCTTGCGACACTATGAGCTGGAGATTTCTTGACTGATCAGACTGATCCTTTGGCAGGACATGTCCACAGTCCCCAAAAGGTGGTCCCAATGTGAAAGACACTTTAAGAAGAACCGCATAGAACAACAGCATTTGGCTTCATCTTCTGCGTATGGGAACAGCTGGTGGAACCCACGGACTTCTTGGCTCAGACGAATGGTGGCTCAGGTGCATCTATCTCGCGCGGGCGATCCATCTCGAAAGAACTCCAAAAAGCCCTAGGGCTCCTGGCCCACCTCCTCAGAAGGTGGTTGGGGTGGGTGCCAGGGGGGTCTAACCACCGAACCTGAGGATATGGTTGGAGCCCTAGGGAAGAACCGTGCACCGATCCATTTCTCCGCAGACTTGGGCCGGACGAATGTCCTGTGATCATGACAACCTCTTGGACCCACAACAGCTGAGGAGATTTGTCAATAACAGCTGAGGAGTTGTTGGAGTTTGTAAAGAACAGACCGCAAAATGTGACCAGCTTTCTGTAGGTGGCTTCCTTTTTCGCTTCCATCAAGGTCATCACTCGTCTACCGTATACCCTATGCTTCATCGACTTCATCTACGGTCATTGATGATTTTCACGGAGAGTCCCACATAGTCACGTGACCAGGAATCCGATGGGAGAACGGCCCACGATTTTTGGGGCACAAATGGGAAGAACAGTTACACTGACACTCAGGTGGTCAGAGCAGTTTGGACCAAGATGTGGGAGAAAGCTCAGAGTGATCAGGAAGCTGGGTTTCAAGCCCATTTTTCAGACAGGACCGCCAAAGGTGGGCCTGGTCGACGGAGGGCGGCGAAAATGAAGCTGGAGACTTGAGGGGTTGATGGTGATATCTTGGAAGTGTTCAGCTGGTGATCTGGTAGGTTTTTGGGATCTGCATACTCTTCTGAGGTGCATGGAGGTCTTTTGGGTGTCTAGTCCAACTATATACCTTCTTAGAGAGTAGGTGGATACATAGGCATAAGACAATCCATGAAATAGTTAGACACAGACATTACACCCCATTTATGATCCTAGTCTGGGTATACTTGCTTCATTTTCACTGCTGCCAGGAGGGTCGTGACTGGTATCTTCAGAGATAAGGGACTACAAGTACCTTGGAAAATGGGACGTGACCCTACAAAAAAGAAGGTATATATACTGTATATATACTTTTACCAATCTTTTGAGGTACTTTGAGACTCATAGTCATAGTATGTTAACGGTGACTGTGCTGTTATGCTGGTCAGCTGGCAAAGCGGCGATGTTCCATCAGTTTTCGGCAACAGCAGTTTCGGATGGAAATAGGGTACTAATTATTGTAGCTCAACCCAGCAACAACAATGATCTATGATTTGCAGTAGAATCTGAATCCATTTTGGGAGGTTCTCTCTTTTGAGATACCTCCACTGCTTTGGAGAACACATCCTCCATTTTTGTGCCCTTGCTTAGCTTCCTCTCCAATCACCTCCCTTTTTCATGTTCATTTGGTCTCGACGCGAGACCTGTCCTTCCTGAGGGATGTCTTCTGTGCGGCTGGCGTCCGATGGGTGGCTTTGTTCGGTGCCGTGTTGATCTCCACCCTCTGGACAAGCACATGGACGTAGAGGGCGACCCGGAAGGATGACGGATTTTCAAAACGAACAAGGTGGGCCATCCACTTCCATGTTGGTTTAGAGTTCGAACGTAGTAACACCATCAACTGTGCCAATCACCATGGTTGGCACTGGGCCATCTGCACCAGGTACGGCTGACCCCTCCCAGCGCAAGGAGTCTAGCGAAAAGCCGCTGCCGAAGCCGCTCACGAAGCCGAGAGAGTGGTCGGCGGGAAGCGTTTCGCTCAAGGAAACC